AAAAAAATCTTTTAAGATAAAGTAATGTTTACTTTTTACAAATAAAGTTTTACTAATAAAAATTCTGAAACATTTCTTATGCAATTGTCTATTCTATTGCCACCTCAGGAATTTTAACTAGAATGCATGTACACTATGATGATATAAGTGTAAATGTCATGGTTAGTTGATTTTTTTTTTCAAAAAAAGTCAATTTGGTGGTCATTATTTTTTAATTCACCCATTAGTTGATTTTTTTATTGACTCATTATAAAAATCAAATATCGAGTATACAGATGTGTAATCAAGTCAATAGAATCAAGGAGAGATCAAGTTTTTTTTTTTTTACTTTGGAGGGGGGGGGGGGGTTAGATGTGATGCATATAAACTCACTTATGAAGAAAATAATCCAACACAAAGATTTTTTTTAAATAGTAAATGAATAAAATGATGCCCAAGGAAAATAAATAAATAAATATGGTGGGCATTGCGGAAGAGGGGGGATTTCTTCTCATAATCATGAGCGGTCCTCTTTCCTACACACATGTATAATCATACCAAATTACGAGGAGCTTCGTGTTTATTTTTCGTAGAAGAAATTTTTTGTTACCATACCATTTGCTAACTCTGAAAATCCCGGAGAAGGAGTTGTGACCAGACACCCCCCCCCCTCCCCCTCCGGGTTCCGCACTTGAAAATGCAATTTTCTTATCCCAGAGTGAACCGAAAACACCTTGCTTGCAAACATTTTCTGTGCTTGCGAGGCAGAAATTAATTTTTGTACGAAAGTTTATTAGGACCAATCTATGGCCAAAAAAAAAAAATTAATTAAAATTAAAAGGTGTAATAAAGCCTTTACAAAAGACGTTACAACGCCAATAGACGCCTCTTTGAAAAGCGTTATAACGCGAATTGAAAAGATGTTATGAGGCAAATAAAGGCGTTATAACTCGAAAAAAAAGGCGTTATTACGCCTCTCAGAAAGGTGCTAATATGCCTTTTCAAAAGGTGGTATTATGCCTTTCAAAAAAGCGTAATTTTGTCTTTAAAAAGGCGTAATAACGCCTTTCGTAAAGGCCTTATTATGCATATCAAAAAGACGTTATTACGCTTTTTGTCAGGACCATATCATAATATTTGAAGGGGCGCATCTTCCCCCAAAAAAAACAAGCAAAGAAAAAAAAACCCAGAAAACTACGAGAACCAATTAGGATCAATAAATGGTTAAAAAAAACTTAAAGGCGTTATAACGTGTAATTACGCCTTTTTAAGGAGGCGTTTTTATGCCTTTCAGAAAGGTGTTATTACTCTTCTTCAAAAGGTTTTATTTTTGCCTTTCAAAATGGCGTTAATACGTCTTTTCAAAAGACATAATTATGCTTTTAAAATAAAACGTTATAAAGCCTTATCAAAAGACGTTACTACGCTTATTAATTTCAATACATGACTAACTTAGCCCACCCCGTAAGCTGAGATATTGACCCTTGGGACATGAGTCCCCAAATTGATATATTTCTTAAAAAGAAATAATTTAAACAGATTGTAGTTAAATATTCAGGAAAAGAGACTTTTAAATGTTTATATAATCAATGTTAAACCAACTTGGTCCTTCCCTAATGCCAGACACCTGGATTAAGGGTCATGGATTTCACAATTTTTGTAGGAAGCTAATTGCTCATTATACTCATGCAAATACTTTGCCTGCTTTTTTCCAAGAGGAAGGATAAAGTTTTCAAATGTGAAATAAATTTTAAATATAAGACCAGCAAAGTCCAAAGCTGCATCTACCTAAATCCTGGATTTTCACAAGCAGAGTGTTGACTTCCTTTGATACTTATGTAAACAGTTATCTGCGAGATGTGCAGGAGTATAGAAAATTTTTTTAAATATTGCATGAAGAAAGATGGCTTTGATTCCTTTATTTATATAATTATTAACATACATGTATAATTACGCTTTTCCATTTTTCGCAATAAAACGCCCTTTCAAACAAGCCGTTAGTATGGGGGAAGGGGGGGGGGGAGGAGGGCACCCCTCCCCACATTTTGGGAGAAAAATATTCTTGTAGTTTTTGAAATAAAAAGAATTAATTTATTGGCCGCTTGGCCCCTGCATATTTTGTTGAAGTATGGTCAAACTCTGGCAAATTATTGAGCTAAAAAATTACTGGAAAGTTATTACGCCTTTTAAAAAAAAAACGATATTACGCCTTCTAAAAGGCGTTATTACGCCTTTTTAAAAAGCCGTTATTACACCTTTTCAAGAAACTATATTAAGCCTTTTATTTTCAATATATGACTAACTTAGCCCTCCCCGGGGGCTGAAATGCTGACCCTCGGGACATAAGAATATTGCAATGTGTTATAGGCCTTATTTCTCAAAAAATAATTTAAACAGATTGTAGTTAGATATCCAGAAATAAGATTTTTAAATGCGTAATATATTTTCCATGTTAAACAAGCATAGTACTTCTCTGATGCCAGACACCTCTGCCAAGCGTCAAGGATTTCACAATTCTGGTTGAAGGCTAATTGCTCATTTTACCCATGCAAATAGTTTGCTTGCTTTTTTTCCAAGAGAAAAAAAAAACGATTTTCAAATTTGAAATGAATCTTTAATACATGACCAGCAAAGCCCCAAGCTGCATTTGCCTAAATCCTGGATTTTCACAATACTCATGCTTAACACTCTTACTTAATACTCATGCAAACAGATGTCTGTGAGATGTTCAGGAGTATAGAAAATATTTTAAATATTGCATGACTAAACATGTCTTTGATTTAATTATTCATATAATTACAAACATAAAAAAACGCCTTTCCGTGTTTTTGCTATGATGCCTTTTCAAACAGGCGGGTAGTACGAGTGGGGACACATCTACCCCCACCCCACTCTTTTGGAGAATAGTTTTGCTTTAGTATAAATACAAAAAAAAAAAATATTTGCTGCTTGGTCCCTGCACATTTTGTTGCAGTATGGTCGAACTCTGGCAAAATATTGCATTAAGAAAATCCCGAAAAGTTAAAAAAAAAAAAAGATCCCCCCTCCCCCCTCCCCACGAAATTTTAGTTTTGTGTGTGTGTGTGTGTGTGTGTGTGTGTGTGTGTGTGTGTGTGAGGGTGTGTGTGTGTGAGGGTGTGTGTGTGTGTGTGTATGTGTTCTGTTTGTTTGTTTGGTTTTTTTTTTTTTTTTTTTTTTGGCTTGTAAATTTTTCGGGATGCTGGTCACCCCCTTTTCGAAAACACGGACTTTTCAAAAACCCAAAACATCGATCAATAAGATCTTTCGGAAAAGCGCAATAAGCCATTTTGAAAGGCGTACGATCGCGTTTTTGAAAGGCGTAATAACGTCTTTTGAAAAGATGTAATAACGCCTCCTTTTTTTTAAGGTGTAATTACCTCTTTTTAAAAAAAGGTAATAACGTCTTTCTAAAAGGCGTTATGACGCGAAGTGAAAAGACATTTTAACGCCTTTTTTCGCGTTATTACTCCTTTTTTAGTGTTATAACGCCCTTTCACTTCGCGTTAAATTGCCTTTTTTCGCGTTAGTACGACTTTTGAAGAGGCTTTATAACTCCTTTTAATTTTTTTCACCCATAGGTTGATCCTAAGAGACTTTCGTACATTATACTCGGTTACGTATAATATCTCTTTCTGATTTTGAGGAAGGGTGTTACTGCTATTAGTATTTCTTATATTATAATTATTTTTAAGTTTTTCTTATATTATTGATTATATTTACATGCCTCTTCCTCTACATATTTGAATACCACGATAACTAACCCCTGAAGATGATATGACCTACATGGTTGACAATTATTCACAATATGATATTATTGTGATTAGTCTTATTTTATCTCTTAAAGTCAAAATATGATAATCAGAACAAATATTTTGCAACAAAAATAAAACGATTTTTAATTTGCTTACAACAAGATTAAGGGTCAACTTCAGTTATAGTACATGTAGATTAGCATATATTGAGTCAACTTATTCGATACGCAAGAGCATGCAATGAGTATGATCAATTTTTTAACCCATGCAGACTATTAACAGATAAATTGATGTTACAGGGATTTCAACAACATCATGAAGTCAGAATATTGTAAACTATATGGTCGTTATAATTACTTGTTAACAAATAATTTAACCTATATCATTGGATTGTATATTGGCTGACGTGTTTCATACCAATTGCGAGGCCTTTGTTTTTATACTTAACTTGACTAAAAGGAATGTTCCGTCTACCTGATCAATACATAGCGCTTCAGCATTACAAGTATATATTCATGCAAATTATTGAGTGTTGTTAAGTTATTGAGATATAATTAAGTGTTGGATATGTACATCGATCTTTCTCAGTTTATAGAAATGTATAATACCTATTTCATAAACTGAGTAAATTATCTTTTAAGTAAGTTACTCTATTGTCATAATATTTTCTGATTTTTTCTAAGATAATATTCAAGAATATTTCTTACCCTTGGACAAAATTGATTTTCCATAATGTAATTAAAAGCATGACAATCAACCCTTTCCTTGTCATTTTGAGCTTTGAATGGGACTTAAAATTACAAAAAAATAAATATGTATGAACATCTTCCTTATTATTTATGTCACTCGAACTAAAACGGAGAGACATATTTTTATTGTGGGCTCAATAACATTGTCCGTGGATGTTCGTACAAATATTTTTTTTATTTTTCTCAGTAACTATCTGAGCAATTTTTTTTGGAAAACTTTAAAGGTTTGTTCCTTCCACTATATCAAAGTGGATTCTGCAGTGGATTCTGCAAAAAGATTGGAATCGATTGCAGAAGTTCTATCACTTCAGCCACTGAAACAAAGTCGGGAAAATATGTTTACCCTTAATATTGTCAGTTAGGCCTTTTTTCTTATCATGCACTTTACAAGGAGCATTTGAAAAGTTTTGAGAACGTAATTATCCCCCGTTGACCTGAATACAATTTTCAATCTTGAATCCACCTGGAAAATGCCGACTTAGTCTCTTAGGGTTTATACCTTCGTACACTGGAATATGGCACTTCCGACTGCCTGGCGACTTTCGAATCGCCATCTTTGATAAGGTCATTCATCCAAAATTCACGCGAGGGTAGATCAGGACTGTGGGGTGGATGTGGTAAAAAAGCAGTGCCATTTTCCTTTCAATATTTGCTTAAAACCTGAGACACACAGGTGCAATGTCATGGAGAAGCTTTATTCCTCTATTACCGGTTGTTGGGGTGTTGTTTTATGTTGCTCAGTAACTTGAGATTAGGACTATGTATCATGAGGGGAAAAAGTATCACGATGTATCATGTTTCAGAAAATATTGCGATAGATTTACATAATTATTTTTGGTTTTAAGAAATGAAAATGAAGATTCCAACATTCCGGCCCTTTTCATTTTTTTTCTAATTCTTTAGTATTTTCTAAAACTAATATTAATGCAAATTAGTTTTATTTTTCTCCTTTTAATTTCTAAAAAAGGAGATATTTAACTTTTTCTACTGGTTTTTAATGAGTTCTAAAATTTTTATTAATAATCTAGTGATGTCAAAATATTTATTTTCCATATTCGATCATTCAATTGCATTATTCGAACGATAGTCGATTATTCGGAACTTTTTCTGAAATATTTTTTACTCCACTGGTATATGACGTATCTATAACTCAAAAACCCTTTTACTCAAATATATTTAAGAAATGAATTTCATTTTTGAAGATTCATGAGGACATGAACTACGACGCTTCACGCCGGCATATTTCATGAAGCGCGTTAGCGCTTCATGATAAATATGCCGGCGTGAAGCGTTGTAGTTCATGTACCTCATGGATTTTCAAAAATGAAATTCATTTCTTATATTTACATTATTTTTCTGATGAGTTGCCACAAATTACACCATTCAACTGTCATTTTGAAGCAAAACCGTTTGCACTATAGTTTTGACGTCAAGTACGGTATTATGACGTAACAATAGAGATATTCATGCTCATCTCATGGTAGTTCATGAGAAAATGAACAATCTTTTAATTTGCAAAGAAGCTTAAGGAAAAATACTTGGAAATGTAAATATTTAAAAATCAACATCAAAATTAATGCAACGTAATGTGTTGTTAGCATGATTATACGAAATAAATGTAGACACCTTATTCTTCAAATGAATTCATGAATCGGTCTGTACAATCAGTTATTATTTTAGTAAGCATTAAAAAAATAGCCAATCGATATTTTTTAAAGCTTATTATGAAATAATTTGGGTAGGGGTGGTAATCTCACACTATCCACACATCAGGTGCCCGTGATATTGTTAAACAGTTAGATACTGTTTAACTCCGGCTAGCTATCAAAATATCCTTAAATGTAAATGAATTGTTTTAATAATTATCTACGTGTCAAAATTATCACGGCTATGGTGTGTTCCGTGCATTTGAGTTATCTTACAATAACAACATATAATTGGTACATTATATAAGATTACGTCCAATCAATAAATTTACAGGGCATTTTCTATATAAAATTGACCCGTAACACTGCTCTGTTCTGGAACCAAGAGCTGAGTAACAGGGCCTTTAGAATAAAAGAATATAAAGGCAAACACTAAGAGTCTGGTATCAGCGGGCACGTAGAGGCTTTTTATTATTTTCATCAATCCAAACTTTATTATTGAGTTTAGTTCATAAAAATAAATCCATGTTCCAAGTTACAATCTCATTCAGTTACCTTTGGTCATTATCTTCATACATTGATATTAACTTTGAAGCCATTACCACCTGGGTGCGAATTTGCTCTTTGAGAAGATGCATCTATCACATACTCTCCTAAGCTTTAAGGTTTACTTTAAAATACTAAAAACTGCTGATGAATTCACGTTTTCCTTATCTGCCATTTTTATGCTCAGTACACAGGGAATATCTCTATTTATGACGTCATTTTAACAGGCATATACATAATATAAAATGCAAAGTGACGTCACTACTTATCCATAGTTTCCTAAGCTATACTAGTTCTCAGAGCTTCTCAAATGCCCTTGTAAAACAGTTGCTGAGAACAAAGAACAACACTCTGTTTTTTTCAGAGGAACAATTTTACATGTCTTATGTTTACTTTGAAATGATAAGACAATAATGCATAAACCATGATAAATGTTGAATTTTAGACTTCATTGAAATTAGATCAATTTTTTAAAGATATACTTTGTAATATTTACTAGTATGCACGTAAATCTACCCCTGTAATGATACTCACAGGACCCACAACTTTGATGCCTACTACAGATGTCAGTGTACGGGGGGATATCAGGGTAGATACTGTACAGAGGATATCAATGAGTGTCTCAGTGACCCCTGTGAACATCCATTTGTCTGTTACAATAACCAAGACAGCTACCACTGTGCCTGTCCCTCAGACAACCCTAACTGTGAAATAGTCATATGGATGATAGTGGTCATTGTGTTGATAATGATCTTTAACCTGGCATTTATTGGTGTAGACAACAGGGCGTCAAAATTTACATAGGAATATATAGACCAAGGTGTTCAGGTGAGCGATATATCCCATGCGCCTCATGCTTTGTATCTTACAAGAATACAGTTGATATGATATTTTTACCAATATTAATCCCATATGATGGTCTATTTTGCATGAGGGGGATATTTTGAAAACATAAAGAAATGAAACCAATCATTTTTAATATATGTTCTGTATTTCTGTATTTTGCTCACCTTGCTGAACAGCAAAGTCGAAAGGGTCATATATTTTTTCAGAACGTTACATACTTCAGAATTGGATGATCGGTCTTTTGAACATCCTCCCCAAATAAGTGAATGCTGCAGAAATCACAATTGTATAAAAATACTGGTGCCTGACGTGAATGTGAAGAGAGGCAATGCTTGGCTTAATTTTACTTGCATTAACATCAAAGTATTTATTTAGGAATTTCAACTATCATTCAGAAATTGAAATGCAGAATATGAAGAAATATCAGCGTCATAGAAAAACAACTTTCAACACACTCGTTCCAGCTGCATTTGAGCAAAGCCATTTACACAAAATAAAGGATTGACACCAAATTTTTAGCCAGGGTTTTGTATGAGACGCCGTTTTGGTATTTATTACCATTTAGTGATATCACCTATTCGAATAGGTGATATCACCTATTCGAATAAGTGATATCACTCATTCAAATTGAATAGGTGATATCACCTATTCGAATAGGTGATATCACCAATTCGAATAGGTGATATCACTTATTCGAATAGGTGATATCAATTATTCGAATATGTGATATCATCTATTGGAAATTGATAGGGGATATTACCTATTCAATTCGAATAGGTGATATCACCTATTTGCATTTCTTACAACAATAAATAATGAATGCTCCCTTCCTCAAGACTATCTAGATTTCCATTGGAACCAAGCAAATTTAGGCTGCCCCGTTTTCCCCTGTAATTGACACATTTTAAATACCTTATGTTATCGATGCTTGTAAAGTTATATAAATTTTATAAATTATACCAAGCTGGGGTACAACAGAGTGGCATACCTTTCTCTCTTTATTAAGTAATATTGGGGCTTTTTCCGTATGGAACAGTTAATACTTATTATGCGTTTTTCACGATTTTTCCTATAGTATACATGATAGATAAGTGTAAAAATATAATTTGTGAGCAAAACAAACTACAAATTCTACTGGGGTGCTTAAAACTAAATGCGAAGCTGTAATACATTGTCTCCAAGAACGGTAAGTTATAAAACGACAGTGAAAGTAAATGAGAATTAAAGGATATAGTCTCGGGAGCAGTTGTTATTTCATAAATAATTTAAAATAGGTGATATCACCTATTCGAATAAGTGATATCACCTATTCAAAATGATTTAGTGATATCTGTAAAACATGGCGGTTTAAAAAGCTGATGATTTGCAATATCAAAAACATCAAAAAATGAACTTTCTTTGATCTTTTCAAGTACACTATTTCAAAGTTTCAAAGCGACAGAGTAAAGTTTGGTGCGAATGTGATGAAGACCTCACTGTTGGTTAACATAAGGCAGTGATGAATCAAAAGAGACATCGTGTATTAAAGGTTTATTCTAAGACCGATGCCCATGGCTACGCTTACGTTTCTGTGTTTGGTTAAAAATGTCCCCACACATTTATATTGTTACACTGTGGAATGGAAAGATTACCAACACTATCGACATTGTCATTGTATCCATAGGGAAAGGCCGTGCCTAGTTTTCTAATGTTCTTCTCGTTGTCTACGGAAAGATGTACTCAGTGATGGCCTGTTGTATGATGGTAAATCTTTTCTAGAATTCTAACTTGAATAATATTCGTTTTCTCCATATATTTCATCAGAAAAATCTCTATTTCTTACATAAATCATTAATTATTTATTTAACAGATCTTCTAAAAATATGAAATTTTTAAATGTCACAAAAAGGTGTTGCACTCCTGACATTTTTAGCATCATTTTTGGGCATAACATTTTGTGTCTTAAAATATCAATGAGATATTTGTCAGGCATTTAGCTTCTATCAAACAGCACATGCTGAACTATAGAAATTAATTCACATACATGTAGTCTGAACTTTTTAGGGCAGGTTGATATTTATGTTTCCGGTGAGTTTTTGAATTCACCCATAGGTATTTTCTGAGCACAAGTCTGCCATATTCTTTCCTGGGAAGGTTTATCTTAAAAGTTCAATAGCATTAACCCTTTATAATCTACCTCGCTCAGATTGGTTTTAGAGAAATACACTTACATTAGTACCTTGTAGAATATAGAGAAAAAGATTAACGAGTAAAAAAAAAATCTGTCATCTGTACAAGGTCTATGTCAGCTAGGGAAAAGTGAAATTAAAGTTCCTAAATACATTCTTCAGAATCATTAAATGTAACTATAACATGAGACGCAAATGCCACAAGGCACCGGGCCTTCTTTTCTTCAAAACATTGGCCCCATGCTATCTCCAAGGGGCCATGATTTGAAACAACTTGAATATACACTACCTAACATTACATATCAGTTCGACTAATCATTACCATGTTATTCTGAATAAGATTTTTAAAAACATTTTTTAGCGATTTTCTGTTGTGGCCTCACCCTCTCCCCAGGGGTCAAAAAACGAGAATCCATACAACCTGAAAATGTTTGCATATTAATATTACTAATTATTGTCCTCTTATTCTTGAATGGAACATTTCGTAGAATTTTCCCATATATCCACATATTAAACTTTGTTACCCAATTGTGGCCCCACCCTATCCCCCATAGGCCATGTTTCGAATAAACTAGAAACTGCCCTAAGGGAGAATGCTTCCTTATTTATATCACTTGAGTAGAAGATTTTTCAAACATATTTCCAAATATATTTTTATGTAATTTTGATCAGTTACTGGGGTCTCACCCTACCCCCGGGGGCCATGATTTGAACAAACTTGAATCTGCATTACCTGGACATGATTGCTTATCAATATCACTAATTATGGTCCTGGTGTTGTTGAGAAGAACTTACCTTTATAAATTCTCATGTAAAACTGATCCCTTTTGCGGCCTCAGTTTACCCCCAAGGTGCCATTATTTGAGCAAACACTACGTAAAAAACTTTCACATAAGTTTCTCTTTTTTTGCCTAGTGGTTATTTGGAAGATTTTTCATGACACCTACCCTATTTTTGCCTTTTGATCCTTCATATTTACAAACTAAACCCCCTTTTACCTAAGATTTTTTTGTGCCAAATTTGGTTGAAATTGACCCAGTGGTTCTGGAGAAGATAAAATTTGAAATGTTTACAACAAACAGCAGACAAAAATGTAAAATTTTTACATGTAAATGCATGCAGCAAATATTCATTGACAATATACCGTATTTTAAAGCGTTATACGAAAAGTAAACTTCTTTTAAAAAAAGTTAAGCTTTGAAAAAGAAATGAAAATGTTACAAAATACGAAACATCGTTGAATAATGCATGAGTAAGGTTCCACTATTGATATAAAATCCTCTAATGATTGATATGACATTAATGATGCATCAATTAACAATAAAATAGTAAGATTTTAATCATTTGTGGACAATATTGTGCTTAATTACACAAATTGCATATCACTTGTGGAGGACTTCACCGTTCATATATGATATGCATTGTAATGAGTATCATTAGGATGTTTTATCACATATGTGGTTGAATGGCGGTTTACTAAGTTTACAATTACAGGGATATATCAAAATAAATATCCACTAATACTACATTGAATAATATAGTTTATAGACTTTATATCATTAATGGTTACTATTACAAGGTAGATTGGTGTCTTGCTCGTGCTTCAGTGCACATAAGTTTATAAAGGTGATCGTCCTCCAAGTATGCTTATTCATTATATATTGTTTGTTTAAATTCTTGCTGTAGCTAACAGTTTGCGACTTGTGATTTTTAAACTAAAATCTTTACGCCGTCGGAGGATTTAGAAGCTGACAATCCGGCACGATTGTGACATCTTATTGTAGAGAATATGGTTCTATTTTCGAGTACACTGTAGTCGAAATCTTTAACCACAAAGGTTTCTCTGTATGGCAATTTTTCGAATGTCTGTAAATCTGTTCCTTGTGGCTGATAGCCTAAAAAGAAAGACTGGTCAGAAAATGAAATCAAATATAATAAAAGATAAGTATTTTGAAACTTAATTTTGATATACCAATTGCCCATTCGCAATAGTGAATTCCCGATTCCTCGTCGTTCCTTGCAAAATTTACGATAACTTTATTATCTTTCCAAGCATCTTCATCATCATCTGAAGCAAATGTTCAATTTATTAATGTTGGCTTTTTGCAATTTTTTTAATAATGCAATTTCCATTAACATTAAGTATAAACCTACACCACAGTCTGCCGTCATTCACGTTATAAATATCAGGTGGCGTCAAATCAACAAGAATAGGAGCAGATGATATGCCAAGTAGGCCGACGGCATTCGTGGCAACTACTGTCACGTATATAAATGAGTTGTGGACAAGGATGACATTTGTATTTATTCCAAAATTGTTCATCCCAACGCTGTTAAAACCTTGGATCTCTGTTCCACCCTCTGTGTATCCTATTGAAGAAAAAGTATATAAAATGTCAACAGCATTTTTAAAAAGTCAATCAACAAAGACAATGAATGATTATTAATAAAGCGTTATATTACCTATCGCCCATTGATATTCCATAATAGGGCTAACATCTTCAAAGAAACTCCAGGCTCCATATATGGAACCCCATTGATGTACATACACGACGTGAGAAGATATTTGAGAGTCAGTACTGTTCTTAAGGTTCCTTTCTACACTTTGCAGTGTAACGTTGTCGATTAACAGACCCGTCTTTATGTCTGTGCTGGCAATTTCTAAAACAGTGTTCTCATTTTCTGCTGTAAAATAGAAGCTATGTTTTTGCCAAGAAACAATTTCACGAGTTTCTGATACATCTTGATCATCATGTCTGTAAGCCTTTGAATACAAAAGAAACACGTGTTTCTTTTTTCCAATGTTTAGAAACACTTCTTTATTGGTTATGGTTGCCACTTGCATTGGAAGATGGCTAGTAAAGAAGATGACGCGATAAAGTTCTCCAATATTAAGACCATAAATTACTTGCTTAACGGTGCCTCTTACAAAAAGAAATGACTTTCCATCTCTAGCAAAGTTCTTCAGAGATGATACAACGACAGAACAACTGCCATGTGTCAGATTCCAGTTATCCGGAATGAAGTCATTACCAAGTGAACAGATGTTTTGGACATTAATATTTTCAATTGCCAATGAATTTCTGGATATTTCAAAGGAAGGATTCAGCAGGAGATTTTTGTCGGTATGATACAGGTATTCAGGTTGTGGTGGAGTAGTGTCGATAGTGACTCCGTCGGACACCGCTATATCAGATTTGAATCCTACATTGTCCACGGCATATACTTTGCTGTAACAGAATTTCCCTAAATAAAGCCAAAAACATTCTCTTAATATAATGAAAATAAAAACTGAGCAATCCGTACAATGGTTCTGTTAAATGAATGGAAATAATGAATAATGTTCCTGAGAATGATTATAGAAATATTAATGATATGATTATATCTTTAAGGGGCTTCAAAATGTGCGCCTTATATGGTGAAAACAAAGAATTTTTTTACGTTTATTTCTAAATGCCGGGTGGTATAGACATCTGTAAAGCAAGTAAAATACATGTAAATGTAGTTGTTCTCTAAACAAGATAGAGAACTCATCACGTAGCCATATAAGATCATACCGTTAGCCAATCCTTCAGCTAGTTTTCTTGAAACTGAAGTTTCAATTCCAACATTTTCCCAATCCCAAACATTACATTCAGTATTGGAGTGTATTGGTGAGATTGTGGTCGTGTTACCTACACACCAAAAGTAATGCCTTATCCCGGAGACTGTGTCTAAAAATCCTTGCCATCTGGCTTGAAGTGAGGTCGAGGAATTTTGATACTCCAGATCATGTAAACCTATGGAATGAATATGGTAATACACAGTGCATCGAGAAAAAACATATATTAGGGAAAAGTATAAGTTTAACATATATGGAAGAATATATTAATTTCTCAAATCAGAACTATCCCTCACTGTTAAAGACCGTACGTGCCGAGTACAGGTCTAAATTTGTAGCCCTCTTCCAGCAAGAGGTTGCGTCTCAATAGGAGTAAAAAATTCGCGAAGGGACATTAAACAAACAGACAACCAAACAAATAAAAATATTTTTAGATATATTACAAATGCGCAAACCTATTCCATCCCAAACTATTCCGGATCTTGGTTTGTCATCATCAATTATGAATCCGTCAGAGGATTCAGTGTGGTGGACACCTGAGAAGCCGTACACTATGACATTTGTGAAGTACTGAATTCCTGGGGACAGTGAGAGTCTACTAATCAAGTATGTGGTCTCTGTGTTTGGTATATCTTCTCCAGTGTCCCAAACACCATAGCCTAATGTACAGTGAACATAAATAGAGTTACAATTCTTGCCATTTGATGTGGGATAGAGATTTTTACATATCATATATTTGACACAGGATAATGGATAGGAATTATTACAGATACATGTAATATAAATATTTATCCTAAACCCTGTGAAAATCTATTACCAGATATGATACTACTGCTGTGTAAAATGAACTATCTATATAGCATGTTGAACACATTTAAATTAAAGAGCAGTTTTCCGAGATTTTATATCCATAAAAAATTGCTAATCTTTGCTTTCAAAGTTAATAGGTTATTTGAATACCTCCTGGCGTTGTGCTTATGTAAACTTGGTAGGATTTTATAGAATCCTGATTGTCTGCAAACATATTTGTCCAATTCACCATTAATGCAATGCCACTCTTCACAAAATCATCGTCATTCAATGTACTTCCGATCATTGTTTCAGTTATCTACGACATGTATTTCGACAATTTAATAGTGTTAAAATAGACACAAACAAATCTCCACATTGTGCAATGTTTTGAATGAGCTCAATATTTCGAGACTTGCTAAACACTTTTTGTATAGCATTTTTTGTCGCTACAGTTCGCATATAAAAGGCCGAAACTATCAACTAAGCACATAAATGAAACATATGAAGATAAAAGTAAAACTGAATACGTAATACATTGACTTTCTAAAATCGTAAAGCATAATATAATTCTAATTGTGATTTTTTTTTATCAAAATAGCACAACTAAAAGAAATATTTTTTTCTCATTCCAGTCTAAGCAAAAACTGTTCTTTGCTTCTCCAATGTGATTATTAAATGGATTCCCTTGTGTAAAATAGTTATAAAAAAACTCACTCTGCTTTCTAAAACATTGAAGGCTGTAAGTTCTGCCGATCCTATACTGACTCCTTTTGACTTGAAGACGGCATACGTGGTTTTGTTATACCAGGTTCTTACAAATACAGAATAGGAGACGGCCTCTGTTAAATACTGACCTGTTGTAACAAAAAAAAAAACAACACATGAGTTGTACTACTACATGTATCGTACCAATCATAAGAAATGCCCGAGATGTTCAATTGAAGCTGAGAAACCTGCCTTTTATAGAGGGCTGTTTAAAACAACTTAAACATATTTACTATTTTAAAGTAATTTGCGATTTTAAAAATTACTATTAACAAAGCTGTCCTAGCTTGCAAAGTATATGCAATGGTTTGGAGACTTTCTTTTTCTCGAAAATATTTCTCACCAGAAAACACTTAATTGTGGTGAACCTACAATATTTAACCGTCACGAATATGGAATTAAAAATTAAGGATATCGCGGACAAAAGTTGTAGTTAACAAAAGTTGGTTTACAGTATACCAAAAATATATTAATAAAAAATATTCTTTATTGATGAAATAGAATTTTACAACAGTTATACCAAATCTATTACTATTGCATAAAAAATGACTTTTTTTTTGCTTAAAAAAATTATTTCTTTTAAATAAGTTGCATTATGTTTATGATAAACACTTAAGTTGCATTATCAACCATCTCTTCACATACACATCATTCTATGATAAAGGAAATAAATTTCTAAACAATCATTTTTGTCCTCTCTCAAGTTTTACATTTGTTGGATTACATTACCTGGGTCTGTAATATAAGTAATAAATTTGTTTTGTCCTGCGTTGTTCCACACAATATCGTTCTGAGGATCAAATATTCCAAATGGAACGTCATGTTTTGTAAAACCAACGCTCCACTGGTACCTGAAGGAAACAAAAAATATGAACATTTATCAGAACAAAATATTTATAATTTACTAGAGCGCCGTAAATATTTTTTAACATCGGTGATATTTCCTGTCCACCATCTCTTTTCTTGCTAAATTTTTGCAACATATGGAGGGTCATTTTAACAAGAGGCCCATGGGCCACATCGCTCACCTGAGCACATTGGCTAGGCAAAAGCACAAATCAGTTCAGTATTGAAAATATTACCCGGGGGGGGGGGGGGGGGGTTGGGGTTGGGGGGGTTACTTGAGAAGATTTTTAAAAAAAATTCCCATATATTCCTTTGTAAAAATTTGATCCCCCATTGTGGTTCCTCCCTATCCCAGGGGTCATCATTTGAACTTGAATCTACACTACCTGAGGATGCTTCCATATCAATATGACTAAACATAGCTTTCCTGTTCTTGAGAAGAAATATTTTTTCTATATGTTCTTATGTAAAACTTTCGATCCCCCAATGGGCCCCACCCAACCCCTGGGGGTCATCATTTGAACAAAATTTTATCTACACTACCTGAGGATGCTTCCATATCAAAATGACTAATCATGGTTTGCAGTTCTTCAGAAGAAGATATTTTCCTATATATTTCTATTTAAGACTTTGTGGCCCCATCCTACCCATGGGGGTCATGATTTGAACAAAATAGAATCTACACTACCTGAGGATGCTTCCACATAAATATGATCAATCAGGGCTTTGCTGTTCCTGAGAAGAAGATTTTTAAAGATTTTTCCTATACATTTCTATGTAAAACTTTGATCCTCCATTGTGGCCCCGCCTTACCCCCGGGGATCATGGTTTGAACAAACTTGAATCTACGCTACCCGAGGATGCTTCCATATAAATATGACTCATCATGACTTTGCTGTTCTTGAGAATGAGATTTTTAAAGATTTTTCTTATATATTTCTATGTAAAACTTTTATCCTCCATTGTGGCCCCGCCCTACCCCCGGGGGTCATGATTTGAACAAACTTGAATCTACACTACCTGAGGATGCTTCCATATAAATATGACTCATCATGACTTTGTTGTTCCTGAGAAGAAGATTTTTAAAGATTTTTCTTATATATTTCTATGTAAAACTTTGATCCTCCATTGTGGCCCCATCCTACCCCCGGGGGTCATGATCTGAATAAATTTGAATCTACCCTACCTGAGGATGCTTCCATATAAATATGAACAATCTGGGCTTTGCTGTTCCTGAGAAGAAGATTTTTCCTATATATTTCTATGTAAAACTTTGATCCTCCATTGTGGCCACGCCCTACCCCCAGGGGTCATGGTTTGAACAAAATAGAATCTACACTACCTGAGGATGCTTCCATATAAATATGACTCATCGTGGCTTTGCTGTTCTTGAGAAGAAGATTTTTAAAGATTTTTCCTATACATTTCTATGTAAAACTTTGATCCTCCATTGTGGCCCCGCCCTACCCCCGGAGGTCATGGTTTGAACAAACTTGGATCTACGCTACCCGAGGATGCTTCCATATAAATATGACTCATCATGACTTTGCTGTTCTTGAGAATGAGATTTTTAAAGATTTTTCTTATATATTTCTATGTAAAACTTTGATCCTCCATTGTGGCCCCGCCCTACCCCCGGGGGTCATGATTTGAACAAACTTGAATCTACACTACCTGAGGATGCTTCCATATAAATATGACTCATCATGACTTTGTTGTTCCTGAGAAGAAGATTTTTAAAGATTTTTCTTATATATTTCTATGTAAAACTTTGATCCTCCATTGTTGCCCCGCCCTACCCCCGGGGGTCATGATTTGAACAAAATAGAATCTACACTACCTGAGGATGCTTCCATATAAATATGACTCATCGTGGCTTTGCTGTTCTTGAGAAGAAGATTTTTAAAGATTTTTCTTATATATTTCTATGTAAAACTTTGATCCTCCATTGTGGCCCCGCCCTACCCCCGGGGGTCATGGTTTGAACAAACTTGAATCTACGCTACCCGAGGATGCTTGCATATAAATATGACTCATCATGGATTTGCTGTTCTTGAGAAAAAGATTTTTTAAAGGTTTTTCCTATATATTTCTATGTAAAACTTTGATCCTCCATTGTGGCTCCGCCCTACCCCCGGGGGTCATGATTTGAACAAACTTGAATGTACACTACCTGAAGATGCTTCCATATGAGTTTCATCTTTCCTGGCCCTATGGTTCTTGAGAAGAAGATTTTTAAATGATGCATTTATTTTTTCACTAATTCTTAATTATCTCCCCTTGAAAGAGGGCGTGGCCCTTCATTTGAACAAACTTGAATCTCCTTTACCCAAGGATACTTTGTGGCAAGTTTGGTTGAAATTTGCCCAGTGGTTCTGGAGAAGAAGAAGAAAATGTGAAAAGTTTACAACAACGACAACGCCAACGACAACGACGACGACAGACAACGGACAAATTTTGATCAGAAAAGCTCACTTGAGCCTTTGGCTCAGGTGAGCTAAAAAAAAATGACTAGATGTACGAAGGAAGAAAGCCAAACATTTTAATTCTATTGTATATTTCCACAAAATAATGAAGATGGTTGTCAGAACTTTTTTGGTAAGAATACACATCCCTCCCAAGAATACTCATTTGAAGTTATTATCGTTACGTATATGGTGCCTTTGCCTCTGAGCAGTTTCTTTTGCAGGCGTATTTCTTGTGTACTGCATCAGTCTAGATATATTTTTGTATAAATGGATGTGCTTGTTAATGTTTAGTTTATTTTACCGTTTGCAATACAAAGATAGGTTACAATATTTACATGTAGAAATCTTACATAAATGGCTGACTGCCTTGTCCATCTACTATGGACCAACGGCCTTGCAACACAGTATTACTGGCGGTAAAGTTTAAATCCGATACCCCAGAAGTCACGTCAGTTACTTTAATCAGGTTATTAATATTCCCTGAAGAACAAATATTGCTTTTCATTTATCATGTCATTCATATAGATAAATCTCAAACCAACATTGTTATAATCACACAGGCAATTACTCTTGGAATATCTGAACACATTTCTCATAAATCTCGTATTATAAACAGTTAAATCAGTATTACCAATTGTGACGTCATTACAGAAGGAATCATTATGGTGGCAAACTTTGTCCTGAGGAGCACAAAGACATTGTCCTTCACATTCCTCAGCCTCACATCGCCTCACTAATGATAGAACTCCACCAGGCAACTTCTTAAATTTTGAGTGAATTATAGGACTTGAAAGTCCTACCTTGAAATTGGGAAGAATACCAAACATTTAAGTGAAAGTTTTAGATTTTACAGCATCATTATTTTGAGGTAGTACTTGCAATATATCAAACTAAAACCTACCTTGTTTACGGCCCACAAACTTATATACAATTTGTCATATGCAGATAGATTTTGAGTAGAAATTCTGTATGCCTGAATCCTTCCTTCGTCGTATTTATCGACTCCTGTTGTACTATGGTTTACCCTCTTTGGAACACCAGACTCCTGAAATTGGACAAAATATATAACGATACAAAAAGATTTTCTCTTTTCTTAAAAAATGGTATCCAAAATGGCGGATGAATGCATATACTAGTACATAAACCGATCATGATATTATCCTACGAATTTGATGCAAAATACAAAGAGTAGATAAGATTCTCACAGCGTTTAAGTCGTCTCCCATGTAAAATGCACCAATATTGACAAAGTAGTGTGAGATGTCTGAGTGAGCGTCCGAGAATCCTAACCAGGCAAGGTTCAAATCATATTCCGTCCAGGTCATAAAACCAGATATATGGCGGCTTAATTCTATGTCAACAGCATGGTCGGTCTGTATCGCAAACGTACCTAGCAGAAATGTGATAATTGCAGTATGTTTTTTGGTCCTAGAATATTGAATGAATCATTTTATTCAAATAAAATATAAGAAAAATAGGTCTACTTTACCTTCACTTGGAGGAGTACTATCCACTTGAATCCCAGAAGAGGTACTCGAAGAACACAGATGAGCTTCATTACAAGATATTAATGTGACAAAGTATGCGACTCCGTCATGCAGACTAAGTCCACTGAGAACGAAATCCCGTGCAATACCATTTACCTATAAATAAAGTGTCCAGAAATTATTTTTCTGGAAACCGAATATGACTTTGAAAAAAAAAATAAGTTACAGCTCCTTCTATGCTTACCTGAGTAGAAGACAACCTAAAGTCACCGCCAATATGGGATTTTAGTGACAGGTACTGTGTTTCAACATGTGATTCTGGGTCTGCTACGTTCCACTCGATCTTTACAAGTGATCTGTATACCTGTGTGTTTCCAACCAGCTTGGAACCGTTTGTGAGTTTAGGCCCATTTGTTATTTTCGGAGGCGTTTCATCAATAAAAAATCCATTAGATATACCATCAGCAAATAATCCTAAAAAGGAAACAATGATTTTGTTTTGTAAAAAGCAGATGAAAACATATAATAACCATACAAGTTACATTTTACTAATAAATAATATAGTTTTTGTTTTATCTCTATATACAAGTAAAATGTCACAGTTTTGAGTTGGTAGAGCGCTCTCTCCATGATCGGAAGGTCATGGGTTCAAGCCCTGGCCTTGACAAGCGTAAGTCAATAAAAAAAATAATTAGTAACAATTCCTCGGCAGTGTGAAGTTAACGTTGTGGGTCTTTCGGGTAAGACCTTAAAGCCGAGGCTCCGCGACAAGCGTTCGCACAATATCCTTCACTGTCGAGTAAATGTCTAAATTTGAAGCCTTTCACCGGCAACACCGACGTCTCATATGAGTGAATTAATCTTGCAAGGGACGTAAAACTACAAATAAACAATCAAAATATACAAGCAAATGTATTTTCACGTACCCGCTTTGTTATATGCTCTAACTGTTACGTAGATACGTTTTGATAATGGAAGTTCCTGTGATAAATTATAAGCTGTTGCCTCTTCAACCAAATCAACTTCTTTTTCCAGAAGAATATCGTTTCCCCCAGGCGTGGTCCCAGCCCACCAAACATAATGAGATATTCCACACTGTGGATCAGTGAAACCATGCCACTTGGCACCAATCCAATTTCTATCATCAGTGAAAATTAAACAAAAGAATTCATGTAAATATCCAAGTATATGCATTAAAGATTTCCTTTAACTTAAAAAATCAACTTAAGTGAAAAGAATATTTCATACATAAACTTTCTATATTGATCATTTAATTTCATTTACATGTCTTTGAATGAAAATTTCCTTTTATGCTCTGGGAATCGAAAAGAGATGAAATTAAAGGAAAACGGTCATCTCATGAATACGGTGAGATTCTCAAAATATGATTGTCTTAGATCTACCTGGGACAACAACCCATGAAATTTTATAAATTCAGTTGAGAACCTTTTGACAAGTATTACAATGCATTAGGTTTGACTTCTATAAGATCAGGGAAAAAGAGATTGTAAAAGATATCTAATCAATTATCAGTATATGATCGACACTCTCATTCCTAAGTCCCAAAGCAAGAGGATGATATGGTAAATAAAAATGACGAAAATTCTTCTAATGTAACTACGTTTTTTTTTTTCAAATATTATACACTTTTGATATATGACCAACATAGCCAAATCCTGAGGCATGAACCTTTGATACCACGATTTCACAATTTTTTTGAGAGCTAACTGCTCATTATCAAAAATCAAATATTTCACAAGATATCCAAAAGTGAGGGATATAAGACATTTTCGATATGTGACAACTTAGGCCCTCCCTGGAACTAGTACCCTAGATCAAAGTTGATGAGCATCACAATTTCGATAGAGGACTTTTTGCAATCGTGAAAAAGTCGGTTTGTCTGTAGAATGTCCAGTATTAAAATTATTTTGAAGATTACATTAATTTTGATGTTTTATCATATACCTTAGGGTGCAGAGATATTGAAATTAACATTTCGCCCATTGTCAACAGAAATGTAAACCAATATTTACTCAGTCATCAAGAGAAGCTCCAAGCACTCAACAGCTTACAAAGACTTACGATGATGGTCGGGAAAAAGATAAAATCAAGGTCACTTGACACGAAGACTTCAATGTCCAATTATTGCACAAAAACTTAGATAATGTTAAAAGAAAACAAGTGTGTGTGTATTTCATAGACAAGATACAAACTAGCTAGATGACAAAAATGGATATTATCACGAATAAAGACACTTATGATGAATGAAAATTCTAGCCGATAGATATTACTCTATTGATTTTTAAGTTTTTAGATGAACTGCGTCAATACTTTTTAAACCAGCTGTGCTTATCGTAGACAATTTTATCAAACATGTACAATAATCAGTCCCTTGTATAAGTTCCTAATCTCTGTTATATAATTAAGATCTTGCATATTTATTTTTTTATTTTCATCATTAATATAACTTGAAATCGTTTAATCACTTGATTGACTGGTGTTCTAAGTCGTTTGAGGATGTCCCATCTGTAACCACTCCCACAATTGGAGGACTATTATCCATGATGACGCCGTCAGATACAGCAGTGGTACAAAATTCTGCAGTGTTGCAGGCTGTTACTGACGTGTAGTACGTTAAACCCGAGCCAAAATGGACATAATCTACTGTCAGTTCTGAAATAACGTAGGTGAAATATTATTGCTGGATGTGTATTATTTCATTAACCTATTGTTTATTAAGAAATATAGTTCTGAATATATCGTAATTCTATTAAACTGTCCCAAATGTCGAGTTAAAAATCAGATATATCCATACTTTGATCTTCTTTCAGTAAAGCAGCCAGTAAACAAAAACAATTCTTACCAGTCACGAGGCCAACACTTTGACGTCCGATGACGTCATCACACCGACGACAAGTTCCAACGGTGACAAAGAATTCTTTGATTGACGAATGTGGGTCATGGAACCCCTCCCAGAATACCTTTAATTTGGACATATCTGTTTGGTAATCTATATCAAATTTACTACTTCCTGAAGGTGAATTTTCAAACACGTAACCCTCAACAGGAGGTGAAAGGTCTACTATGTAGGCCCAGGAGGTCGCTAGTGACACCAGGCGGGCTTTATTGAAGGCCTAAATAAATATTGCTTTTTAAAAACCATACAGCATTAAATGAACACATGACTGCTCTGTTTTAAAGCTTACCTTGACATTTATATAATATGCATGTCCTTCCTTGATATAAAGTCTGTGATTTTTATCATTCATTCCACATTCAGTATCCTCACGGATGAAATCCATTACGTCAGAATACCCGGGTTGGGAACCAATAGACCACATGTAGAAATGTACACCACTCTCCGGGTCACTAAAAACATTCTTCCAACTGATCGGTGAAAAAAAAATAGAAAATGAAATAACCCTACATGTATCATAAATCAATGTCTGTCATTTTAGCCCATCATACTATTCAATACTGTATAGTAATTATATTTCTAGAATGCTTAAATGAGAATAATTCAGCTTCAAAGGCAAGATTACAAAGGAAGACTTTAAGAAATATTTAGTTTTTATACCTGTTAGAAGATAATTTAAATATATAGTTATGCCTTTACCATGCTTCGATTTCCGAGACAGATGTGATATGGCGTCCAGTTAAAGTGATAGGATTGTTAGATTTTAAGGGAGGACTGGTATCAATAATGATTGGAGACGATGTTAGAGTAGTTGTTCTATTGACAAAATCAGTTGCTGAAATTTTAGAGCGAAAGTTATTTCGCATAAAAAAAATTGAAAAAAAAATCCTATCTTAATTCATTAATGATTTACTGCTTTCACCTGTGATTGTGGCATAGTACTTGTGACCACTTTGTAAGGTAAGACCATGTATGGATTTATGATTGACAACTCCAACATCTGTGAATGCAGCAATGTCATTCCCACCAAAAGAGGTGCCTAAAGAAATAGAAAAAAAAAACACAGAAATTACAAACAAATACGACAAATTTTTTCAAATGACTTTTAACTTTCATTTTTTTCCATAGAGAAAAAATCAAATTCACCAATTCCTAGTTCGTAGTTCTTCACTCCAGTAGCATGGGAGGTAGTCTGAAATTCTTCAACATCCTTAAATGAATCCCATGTTACATATATGTCTGTTGTAGATGTCTGAAATATCAAGATCCAATTAAAAAGATGCCAGATATCAGTCACGAACATAATTGATATGGTATACCAACAATTATTTTAAAAATGTTCAATATCTTAGAATCCTTTGACTAAAATTTTGATAAAATAATTTAAAACAAGATTGTTATTCAGATGTCTTTGTAATAGAAACAGCGAATTTTGAAATTTTATACCATATCTGCATGTCAATCTTTAATATCTGATTTCCAGGAATACTCTTTTACTTCAAACTTGAGTAACAAATCTATTCAGAAACACTAAACAACTAATGATCTTTTTTATGATTTTAAATATCTAAAGGCAATTTTAATGAAACCTGGTATTTTTGTCCTCGTCTTCCAATCCAAATATTACCCACTGATGGAGGAGTGAGATCAACTACGACTCCGTCACTGCATGCATTTATTTCTGGTAGAACTCGACTAGATTGTTCGTGGTGTACTTCAGTATGGTCCGTATGAATACATACTATATAACGTTGGCCATGCTCAAGTTCACCTTCTCTAAACTTTACATTGATGAATTCGCGATCTAATATAGAAATGTTATAGATATGTGGTTATGAAGTACTAAACCATAAAGAAAATTTTATTGTTTCTCAAGTATTGATGGCGATTAGTTCGATAATAATATAGTGTTGTTTAAATGTATTATGTTCGAGGGTTGTCAAAAGCATACTTAGCCATAAGAGGAAATTTTGTAAAGTGTTCAGTATTCTAATGGATGCTTAAATCTTACCGGTGTCAGCACAGCTGATAGAATCCGGATGACTACAGGGATCAGCAAGTGACAGAGAAGTCGGGGGTTTGTAGTAAGTTGTGACATTTATATTTTGGACCTTAATAACAGCCACAGTGTATGCAATATATCGAAGACTAGGCCATACAGCTGATATGTAGTTCTTGTTAGGTGTATAGTCCATGTCAGGATATGGCCATGTAGCATTTGTTTGCAATAAAATTGGTTCTCCATATCCATCTGAAAAAAAACCAGTGTTTGCATTACTTTAGTCTACACCATTGTAGACATCAATTTTAAACTGCAATGTCTTAATGCAGTGGTGTCTTATAATATAACTAGAATGCTTTTGACTTTGATGGTACAAACAATCCCCGGTGGAGTATTTCATTTAAATTCTTAAGTAATTTGTTTAAATTATAAAGTTAACGTTGCTTGAATGAAGCATACTCATTTTGCAATCCAAATGTAAACAAAAAACCAAACCAACTGTTCTAAAACATTAGTTCGCTAGTAATTATCTACACTAATCAAAATTAAAGACAAAAACCTCTGCTCGGATCACGTGGTCCCACAGCATCAATGACAATGTTAGGTGTGATCAGCAGGGGATCACTGCAGTCCTTGATATCACCGGAGACTGTAGAGGATAGCCCCGCCTTGTTATACCCCCTCACTGTTAATCGACGACATTTTGAAAAATCCAAATTCCCGGACAATGTTATTGTAAATTCAATCTATAAAAATCGTTAAATTTAAATAAGAACTACACTGACTTACAAATTCTAACTTTGTTTGTTGATAGGGTTATTTTGTTTTTGTTACTTTATAAAAACTACACTGACTTACAAATTCTGACTTTGTTTGTCGATAAGGTTATTTGTTTTTGTTATTTTATTTCCAGGAATATAGATGCATCATTTGAAAATAATAATTACTACTGTATATATATATATATATATATATATATATATATATATATATATATATATATATATATATATATATATATATATATATATATATCTATATATCTATATCTATATATATATATATATATATATATATATATATATATATATATGCAGATTTGTAATAATTTCTTTCAAATTTTCCTATATTAATACTTGTAATTCAATATTTCATGCAAGTTTCAATATTTAAAGAAAATCTAAAATTGAAAAATGTTAAAATACTTAAAACTATAGGTTTCTATTATGATATTCTTTTTTATGCATTTGAAGACTTTGGAGGAGAAGGTACTTTGTACTTCCCCGGTATGACTTCAAAATCTGTTAGTTCATGCCACGTGGTGTGCAGTCTCCCTACATCCGATTGGTCCGTTATGGCCCATTCATATCTATTTATAACGTCGTACTTTTCAGTTAGTATTTGTATATCCGGATCCCTAAACATGTCCATGGTAACGTTTAGCTTAAATGAAAGTGAATATTAGATAAAAAGAATTTAAAAAGTCATACATGAGAAAGATCATATAGGACTAATATCGAATATGAATTTGGAAGGGAATAATAGAAATGTTATTATAAAAAAGTAACATTATTCACTGTTATATACATCAGGGTTATTAAATCACACCATTGCTTTTTATATTGATGCTGTGAAACATAACCTTTTTTTTAAAGCGCACCAATAGTATTTATTCTGTATGTGCCGAAGAAAAAAAATTATGAAAATCAGAAATACTCAAGAAAAAGATGAATGTAATAAAACATTATTTTCGAAATAGAAGTTTTGATCGTTGCAAAATTGTATATTTGTATAAAATAAAATCTTAAACGATTTGGAAGGATAAAGATTCACCTTTTCAGTTGAAGAGGAATTTTCGTGCACAACTTTTATCTTACTAGGTTCGGGTGGATTAGCAAGAATAAAGATGCCGTTGCTATGTGTCGGCAAGTAGCATATCTTCCCAGCACAGAGTTTTAATACAAAGCGATACATTTTCCCAGGTTCTAACCAGAGTCCAGTAACATGGGCTTCCTGATGAGCATGGTTGTATGTGTAGTCTTGAAAGACACTCCAATCATCTAAAAATTAGTCTGTTGCGTTAGATAGCTTTCATTAACAATGCATTCGTTTCATACCACGAAGTGATTATGTAAACTTAAAAGCATATGTGTACACTTCTTTTTATTACTCAGTTTGTTGTCAACGTTGTTTATCGTTTGAATTATGTCAAACTTTACAAATCATTTACCACCATACGGGGATTTTCGTTCGATGGAATAGTACATATCTGGTGCGAAGAATAAAGTTTCTTCTGAAATTGTCCAGTAAGCATGCAAAGTGTCAGTAGATGACTGAAAGTCTGTTTCGTTCGTGCAATTTACGCTTATATCCTGTTCAAAGGCAACAACAAACAATAAGAATATACACCAAATATCACATTATGAGTATTTTAATAGCTAATTACTGCGATATTTTTCAATCTAAAGAAGAATCAAACCAATTATTTTCTACAAGGCAAAGAACGTACCCAGTCGTGATGAAGTACACTTTGAGTAGTGCTTCGTCCTGAAATTTTTAAACAAATACTTTTGTTTCATAGAATGCATCGCACATGTATTTTCTGTAGAAAATCTGTAATTAGTTTCATTACAATACACAAATGGCAGAGACATGCAACACTCGAGAATTTTTGTTAAAAGATAAATTATATATTAACTCGTTTAAATCCTTTAAATTTAGAATTCTCAATTGTGATAATCTAAACCTATGACATTGAGTGTCTGTGATGTAAAATGTATGCGTCACAGATTAAATGTACCTGACATATTACATGGTTCTCCATCAAAGACAGATATACCAGACAAAGAGGCGTTCTCTTGCACGACTGTTATTCCATCTGAGGTCACCTCAACGCTTCCAGCTGACGTCACAGCAGTAATGGTAACGTAGTATGTCTGAAGAATATACATTTATTAAGAGGAAAAATAATAATAGGTGGACGGGAACTTAAGATGGCAAAAAATAATCTCTACCTTGAAAAATACCAAAGAAAGTCCATTCTCGGTATGGGAATTATTCTTTCCAATATCTTTTTGTGGAACAACGTTTGCAGCACCGGGTGATGTTCCAACTCGAAAGCTGTAGGTTACATCAAGGTATGCATGAGAAAATCCTGTCCATCTCGCAGAAAGGCTATTTTTGGAAGACGTGTAATCAATATCCTCTATTTCCTATTTGTTATATAAAAAATTTTAAGCACATAACTGTACTTATTATCAACAGCAATCTGTAATGCGTTCTGATTTAGGCAGATATAATAAATGCTATGTATTAATGTCAAAAATAAAAAAGACAATTAGATACTTACGATTAAACGAGATTCCGTGTCATTCTAAAGTGAAAACAAATGCATTTGATATTTCTCGCTCTCATTTGAATAAGATAAGTTGTAATTGACTGTATACAACATTTAATGTCACCTAATAGGCCTTGAGCATATTATCATTACGAAAATTTTGTTTTTTACTTGAAAGCAAACTAATGTACAAATCCAGATACTTTTTACAAACAACAATTATCCCTTCTGCAGATACTGAAGTTATGTTGTCATATAAAATATACCTCAATATCCATGACAATTCCAGTTGATGGAGGCTGCACATTATGGATATAAGGTTCTGAAACACCGAACGCAGGGAGACCAGCGGTGTTTTCTGCTTTTATTGTGATGTAGTATGTGTGGTTACCATGCAGTGCCCACTCTGCGTCATTTATAAGAATAGCAGTACATGTTGGTGGTTCTGTTAGAGTACAGCTACCACCTGGCTTTAGTGGTGAATAATTCTGAATCTGTGTGCCCCTGGGTGTATGACCTGCACGGTGTATTTAAATTGATTTCTCAACGCTTATTCCGAATACTTTTTCCTTCAAGAATATCATCTAAATTTTCAGGAAAAAATTTAAAAGATTGTGGATTGCGAGTACTTATATTAATGGTAACTCACCGACAGCGCAGTGAAGAGTAGGAAGAAAAGGATCCTCTGCATCTGTAAAACTGCTTGAATTCCAAAAGGCTATTAGATGTCCATTGTGATAATTAATTTGTATTGGTGGAGAGAACACTGGCGGCGTTATATCAACAAAACAAGGCCCTATGGACTGATAAAAAATGTTATATAAAACAATAAATTTCAGCTGATGTATACTCATGTTCAGCGGATTAGGCCATGATTTGAACAATTTGAAAATAAACTATATTTATAAATATATTTATAAACCTTTCATTCATGTTTTGTCTTTTCTGACTAAAGAGTTCCAGAGATTTTATAATGATTTTGGCCTGGTATCATTATTTCATATTTATCTACCTTTGAAGAAAGGCAAAAAAATTAAGATACTTTACGATCAGAAAAGCTCAGATTTCGCTATAGACCTCTGTACATTGTTCTGTCAAAATGATCATAAAATATAGAATGATGTTTACCTGTATGCCTTCAATATTGGACCTGCTGATGGTTTTTATAATGAAATAAAAAGGTTCCCCCTCTGGTAAATCAGTGTGCATCAGGTGAATATGTCGGTGCTGCTTTGTAGATCTGAAGAATAGTATATCTGGAGCTCTGCTTCCTGCCACTGAGGATAAGCCAACTTCGTAATCATGGATGTCTGTTTCATTGGCGGACCAGGTCAGAATGATCTACATAGCAACGAAATGGTGTTAGCTTACAGGAACAGAGTTTTATGATTTAAGGTATATATATAATATTGTTTATAGGATCATGGTTTTATAACCTCATTTATATAGAATTTTCATTTAATACTGTATTAGAATTGTAATAGAATTGTATTTAATACTGGGCCAAGTGCCAGTAAGCTAAACGTATATGACTTAAATGCAACCTTTCAGTAGTTACATTATAAAAGGCTATATTTCTGTGCTTTTGAATACATACATGTGATGACTTAGACAATACAGGGCTCGATATGCCGGACGTTTTTGAAGTATTTGAACAAAACACTGATCCATTCACTTTAATATATGAACCATTTTTGTGGTATTTAACGGGGAAGATGTCCACGTCAGATAATGGTACGGCCTTGCTCCTGGTTATCAAAATATTTTAAAGTTACAATTTATTTCAAATATATTTTCCAAAATAAGTTCCTACCAAATCTAACATAAAATACTTACATGCAATCTTTTGTTGGATTAGCAATTAATATTCTGTGTCGGTTTCTATTGACCAACCAATATGTTGTTCTTCCTATGTCTGTTACTATACTTTCCCTGACGTGAGCACTACTAATGTCCACCTCTGACACCACAGGTACCTCAGTAGTCACTGTAACACCGTCAGAACAGACCGGTTTAGAAGGCTCTAGAGCTCTATTGTACGCGACAACACAAACGTAATACTTCCCCTCAGTGGCGACTGTGTGAGTTGCATACGTTGCATATGTTTCTTTTAACTGTAAATACAAGCATTCTTAAATCCAGTCACAAAAGTAATAAGTTTATTTCTTTTACATTAGAATATGTTTATGCATAATATATTTAAGGAGCACTGTTTAAACTTTATAAGTATCAATACAAAACTTACAAGAGGGTTACTGGAATCCAACTGAAAAGCATCTGCAGGTATTGGTTCCGTGTCAAAGCCATAGACATAAAACAGGACACCACTTTCTTTGTCAAAGAAGCCGTCCCAGTGAGCGTTCAGTGTTTTACTTTGTTGGAAGTCCACCTCACTAGTTCCTATAATTCCGTCTTGTACATTTCCGGTGTGTGGAGGTGAAACATCGATTGTTATCTGATGAATATTGAACTTTAGTGTCAATTTTTAATTGTACTCATTTTTAATTGATATTTTAAGCTAAACCCTTCACATCTTAACTTTTTGATATTAGCATTTAACAATTTTAAAACATCTTCCAAATATTTTCCTTTATAAATATATATAGAAATGAAAAACAATTTTAAAATTTTTCACTGAACGACTTATTTCTATCATTAAATTACATTTGCGTCCCTATTCATGTATACCTTCTTCGTTAGGACTGTAGATAACAAAGCTTTGTTTGTTGCATTAACCTCCAGGAAATAATCAGAATCATGTGCTACAATCTCTTTGCCAGGAATGAGTCCACCATCTCTCTTTACTTCGAGTTTTACTTGAAAATGGCGATGATAAGCTCCCCAATAATTTGTTTGGTAACATTTGGGTCCTCTACTATAATTTCTATATGTTTGAACGCATTCTGCAAAGTCCTGTTGGAAACGAGCTCAAAATATTACACTTTTAAGTTGAAATGCTTATGCTGGATCTATACAATGCATTTCGATGCATACAGAGCCAAACAAATACACGTAATGCATTTTTGGCATAGAAAGTATTAATAAAAGTATTGTATAGAAACCTTTGATTATATTTGTAGATGTTAGGTTGAAGGATGGCTAACTTGAAAGTAAGATCTAAACGGGAGCAAAGAGATTACATATAATGATTTATTTATTTCATGCTTTCTCTTTGGAGCAATGGTACACATTTTTTGCGTTCACCGGCAACAACTGATTTAAAAAAAAAAAAAAAAAAAAAGTACATCTTTCTTTGGACTAGGCTTACACCTGATAAAGAAACTTGAATTTCAACAAATTCATAAGAAAAGATTGCGACCTTTTGAAAATATACTTATTACTGTAAGTTTTAGAATTATTTCACAACACATGTTAGATGAAAACTTTTTCTTCGCACTACGGGTACATACTTGAGACGGTCCTTGGGCAAACAAATCTTCGTGGCCATGAAGAATAATTTTTCCTGTAAAATTATCATACAATCTCCAGTAGATGCTTTCCATGCCACTGTGATAATCATACGCCAACCATTCAATTCTGAAACATATAGATTAATCAATTACAAATGGAACACAGACTCAAAAGCATATATTTATCAAATTATCCAGGACCCAGGATAAAAAAAAAAAAATCACCAAGTATCATGAAACATAAGCTTATGTTAAATCCGTATCTTTCATTAATAAATTTAGAAGTCAAACAGTCCAAATTAAAAATGCCGTTCGACATTGTACTATGAAATGCTGTTTTGTGCAATTAAGACTTCTTGTTCACAAGTAATAACCAATTTAAAGATGATTGAAATTTAGACTTAAGTCTACAACTGTTGCATGATACCGGGACATGATTCCAAGAAAAGTGGCGAAGTTGATTGTATAACACATTCTAATTAGTGTATCTTGTTTTACTTCTTTGTTCATGGGTATTACTTTTACGATGTTTAAAGAAACGGCAGAAAAATAGCAATTGAACATATTTTGTTGTTGTTGTTGTACATGTATGTTGTTTTTACGTCCCATTCACTCATATAGAGACGTTACCATTTACTGGCGAAAGGCTTCAGGCTTCAAATTTTGACCTTTACTCGGCACTCAGGGCCATTGAGCAGTGAGGGATCTTTATCGTGCCAACGCCTGCCGTGACACGGGGCCTCGGTTTTTAAGGTATCATCCGAAGGACTCGCAACTTTCACTTCAAAGTGCCGAGCGCATGGCGAAGGAAGAGTTGCTACCTATTTTTCTATCGATTTAGGTCAGTCGCGGCAGAGATTCGAACTCACGACCTTCCGATCACGGAGCGAGCGCTCTACCTAATATATTTTGTAAATATAACAATTTATATTTACGTCATGTTCCTGAAATCCTCCAGTCTGTGTACGCTGACGTTTAACACGTCCCCTCGTGTTAACCACAGGTTCTCTATAACCGGGGGCGAGGCATCACGGTAAACTGTGACAGTGTCATTTAAGGTTTTGTTAAAAATGTCTACAGCAACAACTGTAATGACTGCCTTGTTGCCATCAGACCAGTTCATTGTTAGTAACTCAGACTCAGTGGATATGTCATTCACTGAAGATAACGGTCTTGAATCTTTTAAGCTTTCTCCATCATAAACAGAGTATTCTGTCTTAAAATCCACACATCCTGTAAAATACAAAAAGACAAGAAACAGAATAGTGATCAAATTTTGTACTCAGTATTTAGTGAACTACAAAATTTCGACTTTAACGAACCGTTAATATTGTTGATTTTAGTAACGGATCGCTGTCCAGAGTAATCATCGTAACTCTTCGTAATTCCATAACTCGGCGAAATTTCATCAAGCCATTTGTTATGGTCATGTAGAATATTCCGAAATCTTTTGGTCCATTGTACATTTACAATCTTTGTGTCATCAACCACCCACGTGTAGTTCGTTTTCTCAGATGCGCTTTTGACACGTGTTACATGGAGTGGGTAGTATGAGACATGAGAGTCATTATCGTACAGAACAAAACACCTTGCTGTTTTATAATTTCCAGCGTTGTCATAAGCTGTCAAGTGGATAGAGAAGAGTCCTGCAGATCCTGGCAATCTTAATGTTTTCTGGAATAGAAAAGTTTGATACTTATTTAAAGTACTAGAGACAGGTAAATCACACGAGTGGTACTTCCCAATTTCACGCAATTAGGATTAAAAATCTTACAAATGATTCATTAAGATTAATGATTCCAGTTCCGTTGTTAACTAGAGGTCCATCCTCTTGCAATACATTATTTCTATTGGATATGGTCTGTATTTCATACTGATATTCCTTAATTCCTGAGAGGTCGTCATACCAGCCGTTCCATGTTATTGTGATTATGGGCTAAGTTTTTTTTCCAAATAAACATTATTTATTTACTTATAGCCAACAACAAATGTACTTCAATAAATTAGCTGTAAATTTTTCTCTCGCTAAAATAGGAAATGTTTTTTTTTCAAAAAAATGAATATTTGTACAAAGATTTATTTTTTAGAAACTAGTATATAATTTGAATTCAAATAATTAAGCATTAAAAAATAATCTACCGACTTATGACACACATTTCTTTAAAAGTAGGTCTTACATTTTCTGTCAGGTCGGGTACAACAAGAGGATCTCTACAGTCACCATTTATTGTCATATTTTCTAAACAATGGTAAGGGGGAACAAAGTCCCAACGAAAAACATATTGTAAAGTTTTGGTGGTTCCCTCCAGATAATGGGTTTCATTGCTATTTTGTTCTCGATTTTCCATAACAAGATGCCCTCCTATTGTAGCCTGTATAGTGAATGTCATTCTAGAAATGAAATACATGTATATATTATAAGTAAAATGATGATTTCTTTTTGTTAAATTACACGTACAATACTTTAGACTGTAGTTCTTACGTATCACCAGTGCTGAAGTTGAAAGGTTTCGATGCAGATTCCAGAGAAAAATTTCTTTTGCATTGAAATGAAGACGTTGCTGGTTTTGCATGTGATGCTTCGGGGCATTTGTACACACCACTTATCTGAGACGTTCTTTGAGCTACAACAATAGAAAGATAGATAATTTTGCTTTAAAATGCAAAGTTATTGATGTGCATTTCTTTTAAAAAAAAGAAGAAAAAGTGAAAGATAAATTTGTGCTCTCTATATTATGTCAGTATTACTGTAAGTAATATTGAAGACTGTTTCTGCTGTAGAATATAATTCCGCTGATGAATTAAATTGGTCCATTGTATCCATTGAATCTGTTGTGGTATTCACGGGATCCAAAATAGTATATGTATAATTTAGAATAGTAGACGCATCTATGATGCCATAAACAAACTGCCGAATATAATGATTTTCATCTATATGCAGTCTCTCTTTTATTACATATTTGGCGTTCCATACTGTCTCTACAAGAGTCCAGTCTTTGTAGTTGGACCAAACCACAGGATGGGGTCCAGGGTTTACTGAGTGTGAGGGATTGGTCAACACGTGGTGATTGTGTTTTAGCTTAAAGAGGTTTTCAAGAATATCTGCATATTCTGTCACTGTAAAAATGAAATCAAATAAATGAACAAAAAATATTGACATAAGTAGTTCTAAGAATAATCAAAACATTCTTGTCATTTAATATGAAATGAACATATAATCGATTTATCAAACAATTTTATTGAAAAATATTTGGAACGAAATAAAAATTTAAAGAAAATTGCTGTAGATCTTCTTCAAAATTGTTTATTTTCCATTACATTTGATGTATCCTAATAGCTAGTGGTTTTAATTTGTTTATTGCACATAATGTACTAATTACTTTGTTCACAATGTCTTCCAGTAAAGCCTTTAGTGCAGTTGCATCTATCTGCGAGTTCTCTATCACAATGACCTGGGAAACATCTTGTACTGTCTGGCCGCCAAGAACAAGCCTCTGACAGCAGAGTATATGTTTTGAATTCATTAAATGAAAAAAATCATTGTGCTATTTTTCTCTTTCCTGTTTTTAATTAAATAAATGTAATCACATGATGGCTAAATGGGTGGTCTTTTCAGAATCTTCATCCAAAAGATGCTTTGTACTTAAAAATGTTTCTTAACTTAGATGAATTAAATAATTAATCGTCTAAGGATCAATATTTCAATATTAAATTAAACATCTCACATACGCTGGCACTGCTTTTGATCATCACTTTTGACGTAAGCTCTATAATATGGGTGATCCATTACTTCTCCTTCACAGTTAGCACATATCGTTGAGGCAGCAGTTTCTTGACAGTGCATCTCAGCGCAGTTTTGTATAGATGGACAAGCTGAAAATGGAAAGAAAACTAAAACAGTTATATTTCAAACAAATTTGAGGGGATTAAATCCCTATTTATTCATATGTTGATAATATTAATAGTAAAGATATGCGGGGTTTTTTGTTATTAATTTTTGTTTTGTTTTTTGTTTTTGTTTTTGTTTTTGTTCAGAAAACAAATAATGAATGATCCTTGTTTACTTGTTTATCTAAGAAACACATAAATGTACAGTTTATCTCGATCAGAGAATCAAACTGATGTTTGTAAATCATTAGTGTTTATTAAACACGGTTTCCAAAGTGATGGGGATTTTAAATCATCGGTGATTTACCAGTATATTTTTTTCTAATGTGTTTCTTGTTATTTTAATTAACATAATGATGAATTAATCCTGACTGGTTCAATTTTGTACAGCCCCTGTGTATGATAATTATACCCTAAGGGGTATGTTTACCTGTCTGCAACAAGTCAGTTGAGGGTCCACAGTGAGTAGTTTTCAAACATAACAACAAAACAAAAAGAACAGTCATATATTTTCTAAAGGATTTAAGTCAGGAACTTGCATGTTCTTGAGCAAAAGAAGTTCCATGTGGAATTTGTAACAAATCATAATAAAGACTTCTGGCTGTGTCCTTTTGCAATTAGATGTAGATTAAAGAAAAGATTGTGAGTAACTTATTTTTTATATTTCATTTATATATTTTTTTATATATCATTCTAGCTGCGGTATGAATTTACACAATGTAAAATCCTAAAAAAGCTTATCAATTTAAAACAACTTGTCTTATCATTCCATTTTAATTTTTGGCCCACGTAGGTGTCAGAAAGACAGAAGGAGAAGGCGAGAGAGATCGCATGTAGCCCCATGCAAATCTAAAAACTTGTGATCGCAAATACTCGGAAGGGGACACAATATTTGAAAAAAAACAATTTGTCATGCATAAGTTTCAAAACAGTTCAAAGCTGAAAATGTATACCTTGTCAACATAGTCTGACTTTTATCCATGTTGAAAAAACTGAACATTTAGAAAAAGGTATGATTATATAGCTAAATCAAGGTGTTTTGAATAACAAAATAAAGCTATACCCGTATAGCTAATTCAGCTACTGTAACAGAGCTTAATCAATTAATTTGAAGGGATTCTGCAAGACCTGTTTTTAACTCTTAAGCATTCTTAAAATGATTATATCATCATTCCTAATTCAAGGAAGGGCTAGTGATATGAGCAAAAGGATTTGATCTATCGACAAATAAACATGTGTGTTGTAAGTGGAGTGAATAATGATGACAAGTGAAAAAAAGGGATTAATATTCAAATTTTAGGAGCTTTCAACATTTATGTCCATGCAGGCAACTGTTCCCTTTTCCCCCTTCCCGGCCTCCAGGTTGTTTATGTACATTGTATACACCAGTGCTTTGTTTTGACATAAAAAATTGTAAAAATATATACATAAGTGTACACAAAGTTTAATGGCGGGTCTCTGAATGATTTTCTTTTCTAATTCTAGCAGGGTATGTTGAACGTAGAGTGTCATGAATGAAAGATGTCAAGCAGATTATCTTTGATATACTTTTGACCAGGTCATATTTTGATCATTTCTAGTTCAATGGAGTTGGTATGAACTCCATGAGGTCATATCCTTTCTACCATTAAATGCAGAATGACACAAGGAACAAGATTATGTATGTTAAGGGGAAAAGTTTTCAACCATTTTTGAGATATATGGCATTTGTACTTTCAATACCATTCAATGTGTCATAATACAAAGATGGCTTTGGGGCTTTCAATTTTTTCAACTGTTTCCAGTTCTAGGGAGTGGGAATGCCCCCCCCCCCCACCCCCCCGTGACTTGCTTCAATGTATAACTTGCATGTGACATCCAATAATCTTTGACCCTTTTCAAACTATAGGCCCCTAACCGTTTGCATTTCAAGAAATTTTTTCCCTGTCCTATACCTAAACTTTTAATGGTACCCCATAGTTATAATTTACTTACTGGCTGTTATTGGTACTGTTAACTTCATAAAATAATATATATTCCATTTAAAACTCTCTCTGAATTTTTACTGACATAATGATGCAATCCGATAATGATAACGGTAAAACTAGTACTGGTAGGGTGACACAAGTTCAACTCCATTTGCGGTTCGAACAATTCGAGAAGTTGTCATTTTGGTATCTAATTTTTTTTTATATAATTTTAGCAAAAATACTATGCACTAAAATAATAATACTTGTTGTTTTGACAATAAATTCGACAAGTTCCAGTTATGGGCCAAACATTTACACTCACCCCTTTTTTTAAAAAACAAAAATCGTCTTTAAAAAATTCTCTTTTGAACAGAATTAACACCATTAAATTCTGTAATTTCAAACTGGTAATGAATTTAGTATAACAAATACTTACATATTAGGGGCTCATGGGCAACATGTTCACCTGAGCATTTTATGCCCGATTTGACAAATACATGTATATATTTTAAATGAATTATAGAATTATTGTAGCTTCTTCCCTGGTTACCCAAATATGAAGGAGACTGCATTTAGAGACAAATACCTTAGTGCGAGTATTACTGTCTTATGACAGCACCTAGTTAAAACTGTCTAGGATCAAAGAATGGCGTAATTATCTATTCAATATTAAATACATTTACCTGAACATCTTGGCCCATCGTTGTAATAGTACTCATTGCAATTGATACAGTTATTTGGAGAATTACATTGCCCCCCTGATTCTATCCTTTGTAATCCAATTTTCGTGGGAATCATCTGCGCTTGATTACAGGCCCCAGTCAGTGTAGTCTTTCCATCACATATTGCTGTATATATATTATAATAATATAATATAATATAATATAATATTACACAATTATTGCTGTGCATGAGACCAATACAGTGATTTAGACAACAGAGGAGTACTAGTACAATATTCACCGAGCACGAAGTGCGAGTTAAATGTTATACTTGAAGGGTAGCTTCATTAACATGTTTACTAAAAAACACACTAATACTTGTTTTATTATGTGACTTAATAATACAAACTCGGCAAGCAATGTTAAAGCTGAACATGACTCATAAGTAGGCATACGCCATTTTCGATAATACAGTCTGTACTATCTACGATATCAACACCGGGGTATACCCTTCGCATTCGTTACACCCGACTGTTTATTGTCACGGGTATCGGCAGGAGTTCCTGCTGGTTATCTTACAATACCTTTGTTTACATTTTATTGCAGTTACGTGTATTTGTGTTTGTTTGTATACTGCACTGACCTGTGCAACTGTTGTAAGTTTCTTTGGTATCTTACTCTCCTGCATTGGAAGAAGTACATAGTTATTTCTTGTCGCTGTGTAGCATATTCTACACCGATAACGACTGATTACACTGAACAGTGACTAAGTGAGCGAACAATCGAATATGGCGGACAAATTCCTTTTCGGTATCGTGTTCAGTTTTAAGCAAAGTTTGTTTACATTTGTTGAAGTCCTAGCCGAAGAGATTGAGAGATTCGAGATAAAAATAGTTTTAACCATTTGTATTGTTTTGGAATTTCTTGTCCTTTTTTTTTGATATGGAATCATGCTACTAGTATGTTCACTTGGAGGGTCGGGCGCAGGTGAAATAAATTTTCATATCCTATTGTATCGATCTGGAAGATCTATTTTTAGACAAATATAGAAAAAATATCACGTGCAGGTGAACATACATGAAACTTAGGACGATTTCTACAATATTGGATCTCAGTCAAATAAAGAACTGATATATTAAAAACGATGTAATGTAAAAAAACCGAATTAATATCTTATATATCATACAATATAATAATATACTGTTAATGTAATTCCACAAAATCACACCAGATTTAAATAATTTACAATAATATAATATTATATAGTACAACATTGAGCTTTTTCTTAAGATTGTTTTATTATTATATTCCAAAAGAATATTGTCGTCAATCAAATGGCCTGGCCGCTTAAGATATTTTATTTTTGAAACAGGATTATATTAAGCAAAAATGGAAGAAAATGACTTTCTAAAAGCAGAATCGGGTAGTAATTCCTTCCCAGTTTTGAGAATTTTACTTTTGTACTTATGATATTTCAAAACAAAGACTACATTACCATAAGAACATCTTTGGTTATTAGATGTGGTCCATCCGCTGGCACACTTGTATCTAGTTGCTGTTCGAGAGCTGAAATAAAAGCAAGAAATTACCAGTGTAAAATCATTAAAATCACATAAATATCAAGGTAAAATTATAAAATATCAAATTATCCATTTGTGTTACATTTTGCCTGCTATGGTAAAAATACGAAACCATTTTACAGGCATTTTCAATATCTTGAGGGCATAATTAAATCAACACTTTTGGCAATCATAAGGACCAAGAGGAATATATCTATTGATGAAAATGTTTTTTTAAAAAAAACGAACGGAGATCAAGCTCAAAAATCAATAGAACAGTACAAAATATTCATTTTTCATAACAATTGGTTGATAATTTGCTCGACATATTTTTAAATCACTATTAAATTGAGAAATGTCTAAAACAAAGAGGTGGAGGAAGAAGAAACCTTATTTCATCTCCATGACTAGAATTAAACTATGTACTATATATAAAGCAGTATTAATTATAAGGAATATATGTATCCGTTTAAAAGATAGGATGGCATTCTCAACTTCTTAAAAATAATTATATAACTGAAAAATGTCACAAAATCCTAGTTCTTTTTTTTAAACAAATTAAAATGTAATCTTTTGCCTATGCAACAACTGGGACTCTCCGTATACCATATATGGGATAGTATGGCCTTCCATCTGAGAGGAAAAAGTGAATGTTGTTTACTCAAGGGTGTTTTGTGACAATTTTGGTTGAAAACAATATTGGTTATATTGGGTATAAAGAATTATAACAAGACATGTAGAGTGTGTTCTCCAACATCCCTGCGTCATTGGGAATAATAACAGACTTAGGCTAACAAAGAACAGGATATTTTGTATGTTATTTAATAAAACATGATTGTTCGAGAGGGAAAGATTTTCTTAAGTTTGTAATTCATCTAGAGGGAAGTTTTTTTTTACGTTGAAAACTTTCCAGGGGGAAGTATTTTTTCTGTAAACACAGTTAAAGTTAAATAGGTAACGTATTTTACTTACCTAATATACATATGTAAATACCTAAATTTTTCAAAAAGAGGGTCTTAAACATACACTGCACAAAATTACTAACGCACCACTTGTTATTCTCGTTTGTTAATTAAACATTTACCTAACAGAGCTAGTAAATCTAATACGCCACCTTTTCCAATACCGTGGAATTGTCAATTCTCTTGGTGTCATGACAAGACCCTTAAATGACCTTTTTGTCCGAAAACCAATTTCCCAACGTGCACTGTGCACCGTTTTTTCCCCAGATATGAAGTTTGTGATTGCCGATGGTGGCCAGTAAGGTATCTCCCAGTAAATCAAAGTACTGAAAGTACTGCAGGAAGGAGGCATGACAATTTAAAGTGTTTTAACATATACTATACATTGTATAAATTCATTTTTTGTCGTAAAATTGAAATTGATTAATTAAATTAAATAATACAAATGTTTATTAAATTTTCAACAGCGCAGTACTGTAATTTATTTATTGAATAAAAATGCTATTTTGTCACAATGGGAAAGAATATCAAAGTGATTATTTTGACACAGTTTGAAAGAATATCAGAAGTACGGCAAAATTTGCCTTCCCTTTACGAAGAGTGTTGTAGAAAATACTCATTGGCCTGACAAAGAAAAAAAACTGTCAAAGTTTCGTAAAAAATTAACGAAGCTGCGGGACCAAGATGGAACTGGTTTCCACTCATTCTTTACTGTGCAGGCATTTGTCTGGCATAAGATAAATGGAGGGCATAAATATATTGTTGAAATCTATGTCTACAATGTTTTTAATCTCACAATCACTAAGCTATGGCGTCTTAATTGCTCAACTATGACTTCAAAGCCTATGACACTGTGTTACGAAAAGACAAAAATCAAAGAAAATCTTAGACTAATCAATAGAAAATTTAATAATACATTATTATAGTTGAATATGGAATTTATTTCACTCGTGGGACATAATTGTTTTATATATATCTTTTTTCAAATATCGAAAAATAAAAAAAAAAGCCTGTACTAATTGTGAAATAAATTCCAACAAGAAAACATTGAAATTCTCTTTATATGTTGTATCTTTCTCTTACTCGCAAATATTACTTGCTTTGAACCATTTATTATACTTTGTATTTACATGTACGTAGGATAATGTTTTCTTTGTTTTTTCATTATTTTTTTTCATTTGAATATAAACATACAGTATTAAGTGTATATTGTCATTTGAATATAAACATACAGTATTAAGTGCATAATGTTTTCCTCTACTCATTCGCTCGCACTTTCTCACTCATAATCATCCATTCTGGCAAGTGGAAGCTTACTTGTTAATATATTTTAACAGAAAGAGAGAGAGAGAAAATACATCAATATAAATACACTAAATCAAGAAAAGCCTCAAATATTGTAACAGATAATAACTTATCAATATTGTCAAGTAGATCTTTCCATACTTGCTAGGTATTATACTTAAACTTTTGCATTTCTGACTTGCAATATATTTTCCACCCTATATTTGTTGTATAAGTGAAATAGAAATTCCAGCAAGCTTAGCAGTCTGCCTTTTTTTCAAACTTGAAAAAAAATATTGTTTTGTATACAGGATCAGAAAATTTACAACTCTGTTAACTTTCGACAAAGAAACTTCACCTAAAAAATATTAATTACATTAAAACCAATTCTTTCTGAAGTTGTTTGATAAATATGCATGCTTAGACCACTCCATAAAAGGGATATGTTTTCACAGTATATGAAAATATGTTGAATTGTTTCAACTTGAGGTCTACAGAAAGAACAGCAATCGATGATACAGTATTGATTCTTTTTAAATAATAGACAGGTAGAATTCTACGGAGAATTCTTATTGTAACTATTGGATTGAAGAGTCCTTGGTAGTCTTAAAGCAAAAAAAATGAAAGCATCATTAATACATATTTCTATACCATAATGACCAAACTCTAATTTCCATTTATGTACAGAAGTAGGAATAATATTTTTGCATTTAATTTTTTGTGTATAGTTTTAATACATCTATTTTGCAAAAACAAAGATTTATAATATAATAGAATATATGGCGTAAATATCTCTAATAAACTTTTGATTATAAAAGATTTCATACTTTGATATTGCATTCATTACACTGTTATACCGCATAATGGATACTTGAATATCACATTTCTGCTGAAAAATATGTGGTAAAAATTTCCTTCCTCATCTAAAAAATCTTCAGTAAGTTTCACACCCTTTTCATACCGGCTTTTTAAAACAGCGTTTTTGTAACTACTCTAATATTTGTATTGAACCACACAGGATGCTAGGAAATTTTTCCCTATAAAACTTACTATCAAAAGATTTAATAACATAAAGCAGATCGAGACTTAAAAAACATCTTGCCAAAAACAATTGTTTTGGGGGATTATACATTCAGAGATAAATGCATCACCAAAATAAAGTAGTTTGTAAACAAAATGTGTGCCATTTATAGCAGCAAAAGGTATCTAACAAAGGTGTGTGGCCTGCTTTTAACCTTTTCAGTCAAGAACGTTTCAAGGACATAATAAACTTGCTAATTTCTACAGTTTTAATCCCCCATGCTGATAATCTTGAATCACAACTGTACGTTTATTATTTTTTTTACATTTTGCATTCCAAATAAATTCATAAATATCTTTGCATAATGATGAGATTATATACCGTTTTGGTGTAGGGAGTGATATAAACAAATGATTACTTTTTGAAATAATTAAAGATTTTACCATAGTAAAAGACCAATCGGTTTTAGAATTTAGACGTGCTTTTTATTTTTGGAATCTGTATGCCATAATTTAAATCTGTAATTTGTTGTAGATGGACAGAAAAGTTAATTCCTAAAAGGTTAAAAGTTGTACAGCTTTCGTCGAATTTCCATCTAGAATGATGAAAGACCTGAATTGGAGCCTATCAATATTATTTTTGTTTTAGAGCTGTTTACTTTTAAACCAGTTATTTTTTAGAAAAAAAATCTAAGGTATCGAAGGCAGCAAACAGTGAATTAAGTGACCCATCAAAAGCAAGATATGTATCATCAGCGTACTGACTTATTTTATGTTCCTTATCACATATCATAATACCCATTTATATTATTTATTTTGTTTAATTAAGAATGCAAGAACTTAGGTAAAAGAAGACACAAATCTCTTTGTCTACATCTCCTCTCAATATCAATCTGATTAGATAAAAACCCACTTTGTAACACTGAAGCCTTAAATTTATCGAAATTCTAAATTAATAGTAGCGGACTGATTTAAACAGACGAATCACAAATAAAAGTTATCGAGAGTAATGGTTAGTTTGAAGTATTTTCGCATTAGAAGCTTCAATAAAAGCATGAAATAGTTTGGAAAATATTGAGACGTCTGTTTGCCTCTCTCTTTTTTAACATTCAGTATTATATATCAAGGAGCAATTGCATGAGTGAAAAAAGGTGAAGATAACGAACAGTGATCGACATAAAAAAAAACTTTAAACAATACAAATATATGAACGGGCGTAAAACACAGGTAACTAGGAGAAGTAAGCAACCCCTGTCTACCGGTCACACCCGCCGTGAGCTCTGTGTATTGATCAGGTAGATGGAACATTTCATAGTCAAATTCATTAATAAAAACAAAGCCCTAACAATTGGTATGAATCAAGTCAGCCAAAATACGACTCAATGGTAGGTTATATATACTAACAAGGTCATTATAACGACCAAATAATTTAAAATGCTGACTTTCGTCGACGTGTTAAAATCCCTGTAACATCAAACTTATCTTTTAGTAGCCCCTGCCTCGGTTTAAAAAAATATCGTACTCGGAGCATGCTCTTGAGTATCGAATAAGTTGGGAGATGTAAACACTATATGCAGGTGATAGCGAGATAATGCTACATCTTGTTTGTCATCTCGTGTGTCATATAATTTAGTTGTTAGTTGGTCCTTATCGTCCATAGTCAGTAAAGCATCCAAATATGAAACAAATGTGGCAGACTCTGTGGAGTCTTTAATTTCAAGTTCACTGGGATATATTGAATCTACATATGAATGGAAGTAACAAGTTCATTGATAATACATCGTCGATATATCTAAATGTCGAGTTGAAGGCAACAGCAAATGTTTTCGTCTTCTCATGTAGAAGTTTTTGGATGAATTCTGTTTCATAGAATTTGACAAAACGCTAACTAAATAAGAAATGAGCATAAAAATGCACTTATTAATAGTCAGTCAATAATATTTTATCAAAACTATATACATGTACCTGAAAGCTAAAACAAACATCATAATCATAATAAATTCATAAAAACATTAGCACGAGTGTAAGGAAGCATGTTCTAGTTCTCCCAGAGTACAACAAAATTGTGACTTAAATGTAACCTTCGAAGATAAGACACATTTCTCTTTAAGAAATGGTAATTCTTTTAATCATGTGCAATGACAGCTTATCCTAATGGTAGAATATAGTACAGCAATGGCCCATGCCACTCATATTAAGAAATTTGAAATGGATCACCTCGGTCTAACTAAAATATAATCCCGTATTTTGATTGTAGTCATGCTGGAAATGAGAACCCTGAATAAATAGATGATTGAGGGTGTAAAATTGGGTAAAAAAAATCAAAAATATGTAAATGAATGAAATCAATATTGTTATCTGCTTTAATATTGTTCATGCCTATGATTGTACCATAGATATAAAAGTATTAAATGACCTTGAATGTTCTTGATTTAATTCACGTAATCACATTTAACATATATAGCTGGACCGACTTAGAATAAATAAATGCTCTATTTAACCTCACACCATACAATTTCAATATAATTATGTTATTGATATCCGAAAAAAACACAATATGGCTAAAATATTTAAATTATACATATGACAGAGTTGTACAATTATAACTAGAGATCTGTTATTTTTTCTGAAGTTTGAGTCTCATTACGAGATTCTTTTTAATTGTAATTTTTAAAGATGCCAGGAACTGTCTTTTTCCAAAAAAAAATTGGAAAGACTTCAATTCTCTTTGACATTAAAATCGAACACAAGCTTTGAAAATCTAAACTTCTCCCTCTCACCGTAATTTGATGTTTTTTAAATCTTTTTGCAGCAATTTTTCACCAGAAGAAAGACTAATCTTTTTAAAGCTGTTTTAATTTGTTGCAAATTTCTCCAAAGAACACCCTGCAGACACCATACTGACTGCTTTAGGGTCAAATGCCATATGAGCATGGTTTTCATAGTTATTTATCTTTTAATACATTTATATATTTCAATTTGTACTTTGGTAACATAGTTATATATCACATACAATATACATCATAGACAAGTTTTGAAAAATAAAATTCTGATTTTCTTTGGTGGTGCTTTAGCAATTTTGTCCAGTCTAGTACATAATTATTTCCAAGAAAAAAATGTAATCTCGATGCTTTGTCTATTTTTTTTTTAAATTTCTTTGTTTGAAATTTTATTAAAAATTTATTTTTTTTTTGATAGCTTAGTGAAGATAATTTATATTAAATACAAAACACAAAAGAATATGATTAAAAACTACAGAACAATTATACGTATACATAGGGGTTAACAGGAAAATGGAATAACAGTGTACAGTTTAAGACCATAAGTGAGGAATCATCTCAATTTTCACTTTTTTATTCTTTGGAAAAAAATTCAAAAGAAAAGTATTTGTGAGATCAATTTTCATCCCTATTTTCATTTTTTTTTTACTGAATTATGCAAAAATAAAGAAAAAAATATAATTTTCTTTTCCTAAGATATTAAGAAATATATAATGAATAATTGAATAGTTTTAGCCTCGAAATACAATGATTTCTTAACGAGCCCGTAAAATTTGACATATATCTTTATTTCACGGTGAATGTAATGGGGGTTGGGGCGCGGAAAAGGCAACAAAAGGGCGACGAAGACAGGCAATGATTATAATTTCAGTGACCATAAAAAAATAAATGACATCAAATGCATAATAAACAGACCTTTCTCTGCAAATCAAATTTACTTAACTGTTTAAATAATTATACTTAACTTACTAAGACTGTATAATTAAAAGTAAGTTTACATGTGATATTCTATTTATCACATTCCTTTTTTCTGATACTGAGGAGTATATTTATTTATTTATTTACCTATAAGCTCCACATCTACTCCACCATCCACATGAGTAGGTGTAGTATGAACTTACATAATAAAGCTCCGACACTATTTGGCTTCTGCAATCAGGAAAGGGTATTCAGTTTAAACGATTCAAAGATACCAGAATACTTTTTTAATGCATTTTAATAAATTCCACCAAAAAAGTATATATATTTTACACAATTTTTGAAACCTTTAACAAATGATTTGAGCAAAAACGAATAAATACCCGCTGAAAATTACTAATATAGCATTATATATGTTACGAATACGTTATATTTAAAAAGTTAAAAAAAATGCATAGAAATTTTTTTTTTTCTCAGTTAATAATTTTAAAACTAAGTGGCCATTATTTAGTTTTTTGATATCAACTTTACAGTAATTCTTACCCGTTGATACAGACAAATTTCCAAAGAGTAACTAGAAGGAGACAAACCAACTGTTTTCTCGCCATCTTGCTCTTTGAATAAGATGTGGTAGATATTTTCCAGATTTAAAAGAATTGTTATATATTTGAAATTTCTTCCTGGATTATTTTTACCGCTCCAGGAGGATTTTAATCAATAGCAATTTAGTTATTTTTTCATCCAGATTCTGTGTTAAAAGAAAATAGGGTTTATTTTCAAATAAAGCACTTTTTGTTAAAATTTTGTAATTTTACTTTTGTTGATGTTAGAATGTATTGTATTCTTTTGGTATTTTACCAAAACATTTATTATTAAACTTCGTATTGTCAATGGATATTTTGAAGTGGTTAAGAAATTTCAGTTTTCTTATAGAATATATGTCCTTGTTGAATTTAATTGCTTTCGCTTTCATAGTTACTGCGCAATTGGGCCAGATGAGCATATAGATAGGTAATATATTCTGTATACAACTGAAACTCCGAATATTTCTTCAGTCATATAGTAATAGAGTATTAAATTACAAAATGTGAAATAGCAATTTACGACAATGGTTTGGTCATATATGAAAACAGTCCAGGTAAAACATTATGAATACGGCTGTCACTATAAATTGTTCTTCAGTCATGTAGGGTATCAAGTAACAAGAAAATCTGGGTAAAGTCAGATATTTGGTGGATTATTTTAAAACCAGTTCATACAAAAAGTGTTGCAAATATAAGAGAAGAATTGTAATTGATTAAGCAGTTGATACAAATTAACATTAATTTCCATAGCATTGTTTCTCTCAGTACTAGTATGTGTAGGTAGCTGTAGTGCCTTGGAACTGTTCATCTTTCTTAAGAGTATATCAAAACGTCTAATTCATTTCCTTCGTTTATTAGGAATAGGAAAAGATTGACTACAATAAAGGAAATAACAAAACTTACTATGTTACAAATATAAATATTTGACTTTAAAAATTGCTAAACAATTGCAAATTACTACTATCAAAATTGAATTCAAGAACATGCATGCACGTGTGCTGGATTCTGACTGGCTATTACTTATATGGCTGTATCTCAAATAGTTTCAATGAAAATGTTTGAGATTTCTTACATAGGTTGAGATTCTGTTTCAGAGGATGACATATAAAATATCTAGAAAACATGGGCATGCACGTGCTCTGAAATCTAATTGGCTAATACTCAAAGGATTAGAATTAAATACTTCTGAAAAATAAATGTAGATTTATTACACAAAAGCATTGCCAAAATCAATGACACTTGTAAGGAATGGTTCCCATAACATGAAAAAAAAATCGTGTGATTAAAAACTTATGTGCATGAATCGTCTTCCTTAGGACAATTTTGGAGAATTTATTTTATTTACTTATCTATTCATTCATTTATTGGTTTACTTATTTTATTTTATTTTATTTTTTTTTTTTTTTTGGCACCTGACATTATAATACAATAAAATAGTTTCAATGCAAGGAAAAGATCAGAGGCATTCCGAATATATCGTTCATCTTGCGTTCACCGTTCGTTCACCGTTCACTTTGCGTTCGCGTTTGCGCTCCGTTCGCGTTCTGCGTTCGCTCACCGTTCACCGTTCACACATCGTTCACCAAGTTGCGTTCAGCGTTCACACATCGTTCACTCACCGTTCGCTCTGCGTTCGTTCAGCGTTCGTTCACCGTTCGTTCAGCGTTCGCTCACCGTTCAAGTGGGAAAGTTGAAAAGATTTTTTTTTCAAAGTGCGTTAATATCGATCATATTGACGCACTTTGAAAAATGTGCACGGCTTGGTCAATATTCTTGCAAATTTAAGGTATAATGAATAATTATTTGAACCTGGTTTGGTAACATTTCAGTGATGACGTCACCAGGATCTTAGACGTTTTAAAGATTTTAGGGGTTGTCTTGTTTCAAAAGGTTCTCGTACATGTTATAAAAGGGAAATGGGTCTTTTAGAAATAATGGAGGAATATTGTGTAATAGCACAACTTCGTTTTTTCTTTTTCATCCAGTCTGTAATACATGTAAGTTCGATGTGTAGGGGTCGATTAGTGATTTAAAGCATTTAATCTACTTAGGACTTATTTATACTTTTTACTGTATTTAGAATTTTCTGTTCTCTTTTTCAAATATGACCCTTAGGGGTACGAGAAATGCAACAAAATGGGTCCAGGTGTGTGTGTTTGTGTGTTTTGTTTTTTTGATTTGTAGTTATTTGATTTTGTAAAGCTACTTTGGCCAAAGTATAGTTAGTTGGCTATTGTTGTTAGATCAGCGATATGGCCACTGAGCCTATCTTCTTTAAAATAATAGAGTGCGTTATTATTTTTCCTAGGAAAGCTTTTTTAAATGTTTTCATCACATGTATTTACGTTAACTCAAATTTAATGAGAGAAAAAAGTATATCAGTATCATACCAAATATGGAAAGATAATGAGTTGGGTTGAGGGACCTTCTACATGTCTTCTGTTCCCGATGAGGATAGATCAATTCATCAGTTTTTCGAAAGAAATATAACAAAGTAAAGTTGTCTATTACTAAAATCTAAGTCCAGAATTTTTGTTTTATACATAGTTTATCAAAGTGTTTTAAATGTCTCCATGGTTAAAAAAAAAAATGCTTACGTACACTCTTAACGCAATTTGAAAAAAAAAATCAAAGTGCATTGATTTTTCCCCAATTTTAACGCACTTTAAAATAAAAAAAAATTGAAAGTGCGTATTTTTTTCAAACTACGTTGGCACTTGTTAATAATATATATATATATATATATATATATATATATATATATATATATATATATATATATATATATATATATATATATATATATATATATATATATATATATATATATATATATATATATATATATATATATATATATTAGGGATGTCAACGAATAGTCGACTATTCGACTATCAGTCGAATGGACCGACGATCGAATAATGAAACGACATTCGAATATTATTTTAACTAAATAAATGCAATAAATGAGTGATAGATGAAATGGAATTCTCATAAAAAAATTGAGAAACAGTCTTTCCTCATAGACAGCCGATAATTTTCCTCAACAACAACAACAACAAAAAAACGGTACATTTTCCATGTACGTATAGAAAGTACAACAATTATAAGTGCTTCAATACTGCGAGATTTAATTGTCAGTAGCTGCCTGTGTTGTTTTTGTAATAAATTACCAACCAATATAATGGGCTTTGTTTGTAAAATCATTAATTGGACTTGATCTTATACCATGTACCAATTATCTTTTGTTATTTTAAGTTTGCTCAAATGCAGATATAAACCTGTTTTGATACTTTGATAATTATTAAAACAACGTGCTTACATTTTAAACTGTTTGAGGACATTTTGATAGCCCCCCCCCCCCCCCTCCACTTTATTTCATAATAAGCTTTAAAAAATATCGGCTGGCAATTTTTTAATGCTTACTAAATAAAAAATGACTGCATGTACAGGCCGATTTATGAATTCTATTGACGGGGAAATAATAAATTTTGGAGAATTAGGTTTCTAAATTTACTTCATAAAATCATGCTATCCACGCTTACATTGCATGAATTTTGATGTTACTTTCTAAATAGATTAAAGTAAAAAGGTTTTTAAGTATGTACCAGTGAAGTTTGAAATAAAATTTTATTTTCAGAAAATGTTCCGAATATTCGACTATCGTTCGAATAATGCAATCGAATGATCGACTAAGGAAAATAAATATTTTGACATCCCTAATATATATATATATATATATATATATATATATATATATATATATATATATATATATATATATATATATATATATATATATATATATATATATATATATATGAAAAACATATATTAATTGTTAGCACTAAAGTGAATATCAAAATGTCTACTGTAGATTCCTTATTTTACGCGAGTACTTATTATCACGAAATGGCCCAAGGGCGTCAAATCGCGAGAACAATAATTCGCGAAGGGATGATTTATCTAGAGATTTTACATACATTAAAGCACCATGAAAATAAAAGCGAGTAATTTTATTTCGCGAGCGGTGCTTCTCGCGTAATTACGCGATAATTTATTCCTCGCGTATAATTAGGAATCTACAGTATTTTATCTAAAGTAAAGGTAACTACTTATAGTAATTAAAGATTTGGGTAGAAAAGCGTTAAGTGGAGGTGATGGCGCAGTTGTAAGCATGGGCAGCTTCGAACCCGGTGGCCCTGGGTTCGAGTCCAGTCGGTCGCTAAAATCACTGTGTTATCACTGTGACCCTGAACAAGTTAGTTCACACTATTGGTGCAAAATCTCAGTCCAGGGGTTAAAATCGGAACCTGGCTCAGGAAAGGAGCTGGCTATGTCAGCGGATTTTGAAAGCATTAGCGCCGTACATTTGGCAGCTCTGCTTGTATGCATGGAATTTGGTCTCGTCAGGGGGGTAAATTGTGGAAGTTGTGTAGTCGTTCGGGGCAATTTACTTTGCAAAGAAGACTATAAACCGTACCTTTACCTATTAAATGCAGCGATAAGGAAAAGATCTTTCACTATTGAATACTACGTTACAACCTGGTACACAACTGGTTTAACGTACATTATATAGCTCATTTTATTTAAGATCATGGTTTATCAAAATAGGCTTTGCTTATTGTAAGGAAAAAATAAATCTGTAATTATCTATAATTGAATAATATACAGTGCTGCCTCAAAAATTAATAGCGGAAAAATAAAACGGGGGATTTTTTTAAAGTTTAAAATTTTAAAAAATGATTCTCGTATAAAAATTCATCGATTGTCTTCTACTTTTGAGTTATTTTCCTAATCTGATGAAGTATCAATGTTTTCGTCTACTATCTTTAACCATCTGTAATTTTCAATATGGCACGAAACATTTGGTTGTTGATTTAGAACGAGATGGGCAACATTAAAAAATTAAATTGAATGGTTGTTAAATTCATCGAGTCGACAATTCATTTTATATGGGAAAAAAGGGAAATTTTGAAAATTTCCTCGAACCAGCAGATGTCCGAAAGTGAAGAGGCTGGCGGAGAGTAAACATAAAGGGGCTGGTATCCAGGAAGCATATGAGACTTTTGCGGGATATTACTACTAAATTTAGTACAGGGGGAGCAGTAAATGTGCAACATAAGACTGTACAAAGAATTCTACTTAGTAAAAAGGTTTTAAGGCGAGTTGTGAAGAACAAAGTGATAGTGAGGAAAGTAAACAAAAGAAAGCGACTTTCTTGGTGTCTTGTGATGAGAAAAGGACAGTGCAGAATGAATGAAAGCCGATATATTTAGTGAGGAATCACATATTGTGATAGGACAAAATAATCGAGTATATGTGTAGCGCTCTGCAAAATAATCTGTGGTTCCGTTTTAGTCCGTCATTTCTGTAACAGAACTTGCCAGTTTCAGGAAGATAATGTCCCTGTGCATCAAACACGAATTATTAGATAATATAAACATGACAATAATATATTCTGTTTGACCTAGCCTGCCTAATCACCAGATTTCAACATTATTGAAAATATATGCTTCGCATAAAAAAGATCTTAAATACACTGCCCGAAACATGATCTTTTTAACGCCATTTCGTAAGTTCTATGGTCGATGCAATTACCCTGTCAGCAAATACAATCTATCATTATGTCACATGCTGACTAACTTTTTTCATACTTATTGTTAGGTCATTATTTACACACTGAATTGTCAACGGATTTTTCCAACGTTATTTCCCGATCATGACGAGAAGCACACGACGGGTGTGACCGGTCGGCAGGGGATGCTCACTCCTCCATGGCACCTGATCCCACCTCCGATGTTATAGAGGTCAGTGTTTGCTCTGCTCCTGATTTGTATTGTTTGAGGGACTTTTTAGCTTGAACACTGTTCGTTATTTCCATATATTTCATTACAATCTTTGGACTTCATATCAACCAAACCGTTCACGGTAGCTCAGTCGGTAGAGCGCTCACTCCGTGATCGGGAGGTCGTGAGTTCGAATCTCGGCCGCGACAGACCCAAGTAGATAAAATGGGTAGCAACTGTTCCTTCGCCATGCGCTCGGCACTTTGAAGTGAAAGTTGCGGGTCTTTCGGATGAGACCTTAAAAACCGAGGCCCCGTGTCACGGCAGGCGTTGGCACGATAAAGATCCCTCACTGCTCAATGGCCCTGAGTGCCGAGTAAAGGTCAAAATTTGAAGCCCTTCACCGGTAGATGGTGACGTCTCTATATGAGTGAAAAATTCTCGAATGGGACGTAAAACAACATACAATCAATCAATCAATCTTATCAACCAAATTATATCCAGAATTTGAATAAGTCACTTCCTAGAAAAAGTACGGCAGTTATTTGACGTCATGATAGCTTGACAAAGTATTAAAGTAAGTGTTTCTATTTTTAATATATATTTCACCCCAAACCTTTTGAAACGGTGTTTGTTTACATGGTTCGCCATTTTGTTTTTCTACGAATGCTTTTGAGGTAGCGCTGTACATTAAAAAGATAAAAAGACTCCACATAAACATGACAAATATGACGAATAAGACAAAATAACTATATTAATAAAATGAATATATGTTACATACACATATGTACAAAGAATCAATTTCCTAACTCATCTTTTGTGGCTTCTATGCTTTTACAAATTAATATTATATGTAATATACATTGCACAATAATTGAATATTGCTCAATTTCAATTTTGTTGTCATTTCAAACACCATTTCACTATTTTAGGAGCGTAATAAATCCTTTGATATCTTCGTAAGTTCCACTAGCACTGATAGCCCTCACAAACACATGAACAGACAACTTAGACAAATTTGTGATCGTTGGCGGTAGACCAAAGGTAACACTGGTTCCTGTGGTCTCTTGCCATTGTAGAACGTCAATTCCTCCTTCTACTGTTCCCGCCGATACTTCGTAGAACAAAGGATGTTGTGAAATAAATACGTCATCCCAGGATACAGTAAACTCTTTGTTTCCATCATGCCAAGACACCGTCAAGGTACTACTTGCTATTGAAATCAACATCATATCAGAATATGTTAATAGTCTTTTAAGTAAAAAGTTTTATATCTGTATTCCCAATTTCACTTTCTTGTATATCTGTAATCATTTGTTTTAAGAAAAAAAAACAGTTTTTCGATTTTAATAAATTCATTCAAATAGTAACGATAAAGACAATTCTTAAGCGTTGGTAAAATTGTATAGAAATCTTGTGTATCAATATCAGATTAGGTATTATTTTGTTCCTTTTTCGACATATATTAAGCTTTAAAGGGTGTTTTGGGATTAACTCAACCAAAAACACTTGTTAATTGATTTATTGCTAGATATTATAGTTTAGATTTTTGTACATTATTCCATTTTCAAGTCTGATCAATCATTCTTACCCTTTTTTGCTGGGTTACTATAAGCGATTGTTATGTTGTAAAGGACCTCATCGCTGGTCAATAAAAGTTTACTGATTGCTTGAATGGTAATATTCTTCAGACCTTCTGCCATGTCCATGTTTAGAATACTTGCTATTTGAATGTCTTGTCCATTTGGATATGATATTTGTTCTTCAACTTTTCTTTTCTCACCGAAAAAAGTTATCTGTCAACAAGTACATGTATGCACATCCTATAAATCAATACTATTATTATTTACAAACAGGAAAAATTATCCTCAATCTTACTGACTCGCAAATATTTAAACTTTTCAAATCATCACTCACTGTAAAATTTCATTAAAGAAGGTATAAACAATCCCCGAACTTATTTTCCATTGGGTAAAAAAAAACTACTATAATTTAAAATAAACCAGATTAAAAGATAATCGTACCTTATATTGCTCAATTCCAGTAAAGTCTTCAAACCCAGACCATTGTATCCTTATATTATTTTTTATGCTTTGATAATGAAAACCAGCCTGATATTCAGTGATTGACATCGGCAATACAGTCACCTCTGCATGAGCTATGGATGGTGGACGAATTGAAATCTTCACGCCGTCAGACGATTTTGAAGCAAGTAATCCAGCACGATTATGACATCTTATTGTAGAAAATATGGTTCTGTTTTCTAGTACACTATAGTTAAAATCTTTAAATGCTAAAGTTTCCCTAGGTTCCAATTTTTCAAACGTCTGTAAATCTATTCCTTGTGGCTGATAACCTTAAAAGAAAAACTGGTGATATAATGGAACGGAAATGATAAAAAATCAATTTCAATTTCAAGATTATATTTCCATATACCGATCGCCCACTCGCAATAGTCGATTCCAGATTCCTCGTCTGTCACCAAATAGTTAACTGCAACTTCATTGTCTGTCCAAGCATCCTCATCCCCATCTAAAACAAATATAAAATTACTGTCATTACATTGTAAAACATTCATAATTACACCAATTCAGTGACCATAGCTTTGTTTTCAGCTTACTCCATAATCTGCCATCGTTCACAGTGACAATAACTGGCGACGTCAAATCAACAAGAACAGGTACAGAGTACGATATTCCAAGAAGTCCGACAGCGTTTGAGGCCACCACTGTCACGTGTACATATGTGTTATGGATAAGGGTGACATTAGCATTAATTCCAAAGTTGCTTAGCCCAACGCTGGTAAAATCCTGCAACTGTGTTCCACCTTTTGTGTACCCTAGTGAAGAAATAATAAATCTTAAATGTCAATAAATGTAAGAACTCATTCAAAGATGATGGTAAATTAGTATGGAACGGATATACATGTATATACCTTACCTATTGCCCACTGATATTCTGTGATAGGACTGACATCTTCAAGGAAACTCCAAACCCCATGCATGGAACCCCATTGATGTATATAAACGACGTGGGCAGACACATGAGAGTCAGTATTGTTATTAACGGTCCTTTCTACAACTTGCAATGTAACTTGGTCAATAAACAGACCTGTCCTAATGTCTGTGCTGCCGATTTCGAAAATTGTATTATCATTTTCTGCTTTAAAAAAGAAGCTATGTTTATGCCAAGATACAATTTCACGGGATTCAGATACATCGTTATCATCATGTCTGTAAGCCCTTGGATACAGAAGAAACACATGTTTATTTTTCCCAATGTTTACAAACCCTTCTTTGTTGGCTATTGTTGCAACACGCATTGAAAGATGGCTGGAAAAGAAGTCAACGCGATAAAGTTTTCCACTTTTAAGTTCATTTATAACTTGCTTAACACTGCCTCTGACAATAAGAAATGATTTTCCATCTCTACCAAAATTCTTCACAGATGACACAACAGCAGAACAACTGCCACGAGTCAGATTCCAGTAATCTGGAATGAACTCATTACCGAGTGAACAGATGTTTTGGTCATTGATATTTTCAATTGCTAATGAATTTCTAGATTTTTCAAAAGAAGGATTCAACAAGAGGTTTTTCTCGGTGTGATAAAGGTATTCAGGCTGTGGTGGAGTGTTGTCGATAGTGACGCCATCGGAAACTGCAATGTCAGATTTATATCCCACATTGTCCACTGCATAAACTTTGCTGTAGTAGATTTTTCCTGAAGGAAAGAACACAACTTTATTTACTTATAGTGAAAACAAATCTTGAAGGTGTTCATAATAAGTCTTGAACACACGTACGTAAAAATGTCAAATGCTGGTCCTGCAAATGTAAGTAAACAGTTTAATTCTTGATCATAATGCATCTGATTTTTTGTGCACCTACCATGTAAAAATACAGAAAACAATCAGTCTGAGCAAGAGAAAAAATCAAGAAAAATAAATACACGTATATTAAGGACATTGGCAAGTCAGGGTTTTCCGGAGAAATAAGGTTTAATACATGGGTTTTTTTCACTTATAAAATATTGATTGAGAGTGATCTCCCGTGTAGAATTCTCTAAGCGGTGAAAACCAATAAAGCGTATGTTACAGAGGTAAACAAAAGCACGTGTACTTCCTTCAACGAGTAGAATCATCTACACAGCAAGAAAGAAAAGTAGTAATGGCTTTGTTGTATATTGTATTCAGGGACAAAGAGCCAACAGGTCGTCATTTACCATAGTTATGCTCGGTATGCTTGGAAGGGCAAAGATGTGACATATGCTGAAAGGTAGGTCGACCATGCCGACTGAGAACAGTTCTTAGGTCATGTGAAGGAATCAGCATTTAGTAACTTCGAATGAAAGTAAAAAATAAATCCATGCCAATATTTTTTATGACAATGTGTTTCAATAAAGTCAGTCAATTACATGATAAAAAACAATCAACCAGTCTCTTGACCAATTTTAGCTGTTAAGGGACGCTGCTCAAAAATGATGATCGGTGCCGATATATCCATGTCTTGTTTATATATATATACATCTTCAGCCAAAATATCTAGAAGTCATAGGAAATGAAGATACAATAATGTATATAATACGAAAACTGTATAAAATAAATGGGTTTTGAAGAAATATTATGGTGAAAAATTATGTAGGTCCCCTTTATCAACATTTTACATAGGAAATGCATTAGGAGTTGTAAAAACACTAATTTGACAAATTCTAAGAAGAAGAATGTTGGATTGGTAGGTAAAACGATCCAGAATATAGCCTGTTTAGTACATTTAAACCTACTCAAAAGTTCTTGAAAAATTCTATACAATAACCAGGAACCTTGCCAATGTCCTTAATGCAAGATAAAGTTATATCTTCACGTTTCATCAGTTTCCTGAAATCATACCATTTGGTAGTTCAACAGCAAGTTTTCTTGAGACTGAAATGTGAATCCCTACGCTCTCCCATCCCCATATGCTGCATTCAGTAGTAGAATGCACTGTTGAGACTGTGGTCGTGTTGCCTACACACCAAAAGTAATTCCTTATCCCTGATCCTGTATCTAAAAACCCATGCCATCTAGCTTGAACTAAGTTTGATGCATTCTGAAACTCCAGATCATGCAAACCTGTTCAAAAATATTACATTATTCTAAAGAACAGAGAAAAGAAATGAAAAAATATAGTAAAAAATCAGGATGTATTTTTTTTTCGAAATGTAACAAATACTGTAAAATCACACATTTTTATGGGAGTTTAATTTTTACTTGTTTTCTCGATATGGAAGGACCCAACAATTCATCTTTCTGCATAAAATGTTTCAATTCAATACCACAAAATCAAATTCCCTCAAAACAATATTTTTACTCAAACCACGTAAATTTGACCCCATGAAAATAAGTAATTTTACTGTATGCAAACCTATTCCATCTAACACTATTCCTAGCCTCGGTTTGTCGTTATCAATTAAGAATCCGTCAGAGGATTCTGTGCGGTGGATTCCCGAGAATCCGTAGACGATGACATTGGTGAAGTACTGGACTCCCGGAGACAAAGAGAGTCTGCGCACCAAATATGTCGTCTCTGTATTAGATAAATCTTCTCCACTGTCCCAAACACCGTACCCTGACATAAAGATATGCTAATATTAATCACACCGTTTCTAAACATTTGAAAGACGGATAAGCAAGAAAAGAGCACTAGTATTTTAAAGGATATTTTAAATAAAGTCGATAAAGATAAATCAAAGAACTATATGTGGTATATGCATATTTTTGCCCCAATAGATGTCCTGAATTTTATATACTGTATGAAAAATCTGAATTAACAAAAAATATTATGGTTTTGAAGTAGGTTATTGGCTATTTTTGTTTCTATGACGTCACAGACTATTTGGATTTTGCATTATTTTTCGGAAAGAGGACAAAATGGACTTTTTTTTTCAATTTTTACAATATAATTTAAAGAGTGCAAATCTCTTCCATAACAATATTCAAATGAAATATATGGAGATAACGAACAGTATTCAAGCTCAAAAGTCCGTTATACAATACAAAAAAGAAGCAGAGCAAACACGGACCTCCAAACATCAGAGGTGGGATCAGGTGCCATGGAGGAGTGAGTATCCCCTGCCGACCGGTCACACCCGCCGTGTGCTCCTTGTCATGATCGGGAAATAACGGAAAAATCCGTCGACAATTCAGTGTGTAAATAATGGCCTAACAATTAGTATGAAAAACGTCAGTCAGCATTTGACTCAATGATAAATTGTATTTGCTGACAAGGTCATTGTATCGACCATAGAACTTACGAAATGATGACTTTAGACGAGACAGCTGATATTCTTGTTTCATCAACTTATTTGTCAATAATTTACCTCGTTTTAGAAAATGTACATACGTAGAGCATGCTCTTGCGTATCGAATCAACTGAGAGATATATACCCCGTATGCAGGTGATGAAGGTATATTGCTGCATAAGTAAGGGAAGTTGACGATTGAAAAGTTAAAGTCATCACGTTTATCATAAAGCTTGGTTTTTAGTTTACCATTAACGTCTTTTTTAAGTAAAATATCCAAATATGAAACAGATGTGTCGGACTATGTGGTATCTTTTATCTCAAGTTCACCAGGATATATCGTATCGACATAAGAATGAAAATAGCCATTGTTAATTGACAATACGTCGTCGATATATCTAAATGTCGAGTTGAACGCCACAACAAGTGATTTCTTCTTTTCACATACAAGTTTTTGGACAAACTCTGCTTCATATGAATACAAAAAAAGGTCTGCTAATAACGGGGCGCAATTGGTACCCATAGAAATTCCAATAGATTGTTGGAAGACCTGGTCTTCAAAAACCACATAGATATTGTCAATCAGAAACTCAAGCATCTTTTTAATGTCAACTTCAGAGTACTTGTGTGTACAATCAGAATGTTTTTTAACAAAATAATTTTGCAAATGACCAATGACAAGGTAAGTATATTTACGAGTTACGAATATTTCATTGATAATATTTTCATTCTACACATTATATCAAAATATTGAGTTGGAACAGACCTCAGCTCGTTAACTCTTACTCAAAATATCAACGTAAGTACTAAATCATGGACATTTTGAATTTATGTCATTATCCTGGGGTCATATCTTACATATGTCGCCATGGCTGGTGAAAATATGTAATGCTTCAAAGTCTACATATACCCCCTACTTTAGATCATAATTATAGATTTCTCCGTCAAAGTTTGATGTTGAAGGCAAATATTGGTCATTACCGAATATAATCCTTTCAATCTATTGCTGATTTTGAGAAATTAGAATTCGTACTCCGTTATTTCCCGATAATGACAAAGAGAACATGCAAGGCGGTTGTGACCGGTCGACAGGGGATGCTTACTCCTCCATGGCACATGATCCCACCTCTGATGTTTTTAGAGGTCTGTGTTTGCTCTGATCCAAATTTGTATTGATTTAATGGACTTTTGAGCTTGATTATTGTTCGTTATATTTATATACATATTAAATAAACAACTGCCTATACATTGCATTTATAGAAGATTGCATTTATACCTCCTGGTGTTGTGCTAATGTAGACATGAAAGGATTTGATTGTCTCCTTCACGTCCACAAACTTATTTGTCCAATTCACCATTAACGCAATGCCATCCTTTACAAAATCATCATCTTTCATTGTACTAGTTATCATTTTTTCAGTTATCTACAATATTCCAGAACATCAAATTGAAACATTACAATAGCAACAGAACGAATATCACAAAGCATTTACATATATTTGTCCATGTAGCTTAACATCCCAATAAATCTTAACGTAACTAATTCACCAGCTGAAGTTAGGTCAATTTTAGTCTGTTGATGATTATCATTATCTACCACTACATCCAAAATTGCTTCCTTCACATTAAAATTAATGATCGGTCGAATTCTTCTTGAGTTCTAGATTTGCATTCTTTATTTGTTTAGTATCTTCGTTTTCTCATAAGATCTAAAGTTCTAAATTTGGCACCGTTTATAATCAACATCACTTTGACTACAGAAAAAAGAAACTTGTCTTCAAAGTATTTTTCACATTTTGAACTCTATTACAAATGGTCATGTTTTCATTGTACTCTAAACACTTACGGAACTTCCAAGACCATTTATGACGGCAGGTTTTTGTGTTTCTATGACGACGCCCTTCGACTTGAAGACTGCATACGTGTTTTTGTTATACCAAGCTTTCACAAACACTGAGTAGGAAACACCCTCCTCCAAATAATGACCTTAGGTTAAAACAACAAAAGCAAATGTATTCTAATAATGTCTGAAAAGCGCATTGAAGCTTAGAACTTTGTCTGTATTATATGCCGGCATAATATTATTTATTTCCTACAAACTTCTTGGAGACATTATGCTAGAATATTTCTTTGTTCCGTAGAAAGGATAGAAATAAGGACTGTTTCGACACCTTTATTGTAGGAATATGAATATTTCAATTGTTTCCGGTTGCAAAACATCATATCAAAAGGTTGAATTTATAATGACTTTGATTTACTGAACACTTTCACTAAACTAAACATCATCAAACACATTTACTCTGTATGCAATGGATTCTGTCCACTTTCAATTTTCTATTTACATTTGGCAAATATTGAGTACCTGGATCAGTGGTATAAGTAATAAACTTGTTCTGTCCTGCATCATGCCACACACGATCATGCTGTGGGTCAAATATTCCTACAGGAACGTCATTTAATGTAAAACCAACACTCCACTGGTACCTGATGGATGCATACATATGAACAATAGAGTAACTTAATATGTGGGGAAATGTCTTATACTTCGAACGAAATTTGAATAATATATTTCTGAAATATTTTCAATTGAGAGTTTTAAGATTAGATTGATTACACCCGAAATTGTATCAGAAATGAATTGTTTTGAATGTTTATAGTATCTTCACTCAACTTCCTCATCAACTGATAAGCTTCGTCATAAATTTGCATTTGGAATAAACCTTTTATATGTAATTGTTTTAAATTAAATTTATATTTGCAGATAAGAAGCAACACAAAAGACGCTTTATTAAGTGATTTCATAGTAAAGTTTATAATGATTCTGCTTTGATGCCTGTGCCTCTTCATTTTTTATATTACCGGTGTTATATGTACATTTCAAGTGTACTGAATCCAAGGATACCATTTTCAATAAGTAAGATACTATTCTAGTCAGTACACTTTACAATATGAAAAACTATCATTGCTTAAACTTTTAACTCTATAGATATCAATTTAAATAGCCTCACATGGAAGGTTGACTGCCTTGTCTATGCACTATGGACCATCGACCTTGTAGTACTGTATTACTGGGCGTGAATTTTATATCTGATGCTCCAAATGTCACATCGGTTACTTTAATTAGGTTGTTGACATTTCCTTCAAGATAATTATTGGTCTTTCTTTAAAATTGATCCATAATTTTGCATTTATAAATACAAAAAAAAAAAATAATAATTTATGCAAATAAATACTGAATACGAAAAACAGCTATGACCAATCTTTGAATATTGTGATATTTTCACTTGTCTCTAATTACATTCAAGTAAAGCAATATTACCGATTGTCACGTCATTACAGGAAGAACCATTATTGGGGCAGACTTTGTCTTGAGGAGCGCACACACACTGTCCCTCGCAGTCTTCTGCCTCACATCGCCTCACCAAGGAAAGAAGTCCTTGTGGCAACTTCTTGAATTTGGAATGAACTATAGGACTTGATAGTCCTACCTTGAAATAGGAAGATATGATTTAGTTGTTAATGTATACAGAAGAACTACAAATTTTAATGTATCATCTCATTTTAGTACTTCTGACAAATTAAGTGACCTTTACTTACCTTGTTTACAGCCCAAACACAGATATACAAATAATCATATGTTGATAGTTTCTGGGTGGAAATTCTGTATGCCTGAACCCTTCCTTCGTCGTATTTGTCAACTCCTTTTGTGCTATGATTCACCTTTTTTGGAACACCAGACTCCTATGATTAGAAACATTTACCGATTTTAAATAAATCTATTTACATAACAGCGGCCGGTAACATACTATACTTGACTTGATGTGATCTCTATGTATACAAATACATTGTAGAGTGTTCCAAGGAACGCACGTGTCGCCTGCTTTGTAGCTTCATTAAAGGTGTAAATAAATCTTAGGGTGTTCAACAATTTATTTGCTTCTAGCATTAGGAATTCATCCATTTGCCGTCAAATAAAAAAAAACATCTCATGGTAGAATAAGACTACGACAGAATCTGACAATCAAACCAACCGTCAAATGAATAATGAAAACGAAATTATTACAAATAAATACGTTTATGAAAACGTGTTTCAAACATCTTTACTACAATCTTCAGTCTGTCTTTACTGCAATTGTTAGTCTACAATACTATTATGGAATACCGATCCCGATGTATTTAAATATCAGTTTGTGTGGTAACTGTGCATCATAGGGTTCCAAAGAACTGTCATGAGCTCATAAATATGTATAAATGCTAATATCATAACTCTGCATCTCCAAATTCAAAATACACAAGTTAAATTAAACCGTCCGGAGTATTTTTATGCAAAGCAGGTCAAAGGTCAAGGTTAAGTGGACTGTAACGCCATTCTATGACAAACAGTATATATTCTAAATAGCATAGATTTTCCTCTTAAATATAAAAAAAATATGCTGTATATCGGCACTGTTAACTTTTTTGAAAAGTAGGTCAAAGGTCAAGTTCAAGGGTCAAAAAGTCGGTAGTTATGGTACTTAACAAAAGCCATTTTGACAAGCAATATACATGCAAAATATTAAATCATATCTCGTACAGTTCTCTAGATATAAGGTGTGACAGACGGACAGATGGATCGACAGACAGACAGACACCGAATCAAGCGATCCCTAGGTGTCGCCATGCTCTGCAGGCGACACAGAAGAGAAATAAGAACCAACTTCGGCTCGAATTTACAAGGGTGACCTCAAAAATACTCCATTGTTAGATAAAAATACCTTGCAGCCAATGAAATAACAACTGGAACCATGCTAAAATTATTCATTAATGAAACGATTAAGTGGGGTTATACTACCTCGAAATTTAATTGTGCGAGTCGATGTATTTTAGGTTTTCCATAAACACGAGGCAAAATCCACACATTATATCCAGTTATGAAGTCTTTCCGAAGCTGGTAAACGTAAACAATAAATTCAGACTTCTTTCAACTTTCTTTCTCTTTCATCATTTGCCATTATTACATCCTTCTCTTCGATTTACAGAATTACGGTGAAACCCAAGCCGAGAACAGACGACAATTTGAGTAAAAGCATGCAAGTTAGATGGCGGAAAGTAATTGGTCAAAAATGTTCTAGAAGAAACATGTTTGATCAATTATGTCCAGCGTTATACCTCGGACGACTTAAACTTCCTCAACTTGCGCGACAGGATACCTGGATTGTTTAACATGAAATTAATGCAATAATATTCATACTATAATTAAGATAAGTTACAATAGAATAAAAAAAAATTCTCACAGCGTTCAAGTCGGCTCCCATGTAAGTCGAACCAATGTTAACAAAGTAATGGGTGATATCTGAGTGGGCGTCAGAAAATCCCAACCAGGCAAGGTTTACCGCATATTTCCACCAGGTCATAAATCCAGATACATGGCGACTTAATTCTTCGTCTACAGCATGGTCGGTCTGTATCGCAAACATACCTAGTAGAAACAAAAATTGCAATATTCCAATCAAACTTTGTATTTTTTTACCAATATTGAAAAAAAAATATAGTATACCAATAAACTATAAGAAAAGTTGGTTTTGATTTACCTTGGCTTGGAGGAGTACTATCCACTTGAATTCCAGAGGAAGTGCTTGAAGAACACATTTGAGCTCCATTACAGGATATTAGAGTGACAAAGTATGTAACTCCATCATGCAGCTTAAGCTCACTGAGAACAAAATCACGCGCAATGCCATTTACCTGTGGAAAAGGTCTTCAGATAACTTAGTAAAAATATTTTTATAGAAAATTAACTTGAACACATTTCAACAAATCATCGACTTACTTGGACAGAAGACAAATTAAAGTCTCCACCAATGTGGGATTTCAGTGATAGGTACTGTCTTTCTATGTGTGATTCTGGGTCGTTTACTTTCCACTCAACCTTTACTAGTGATTTGTATATTTGTGTATTTTCAACCAGTGCTGAATCTTTTGTGAATTTGGGACCACTAGTTATAACAGGAGGTGTTTCATCAATTAAAAACCCATTCGATACACCTTCAGCAAATAATCCTGTAACAAGTCATTACTGTTAGTTCTTTTAAAACAAAACCACCATAATGTGTAACAGTGGTTATACATGTATATACATACACATATATACCTTAACAGCGAGCGCAGCGAGCTACAGGAAGCGACAATCGACATTGCGAGCTCTTAAAGTAAGGCCTGGCCAAAGAGAAAATTTTGATTATGCAAATATACGTGTGATTTGTTTTTGCACAGTAACTTCAAGACCCAAAATGCAATGCGAATACATTTCGTTGCTTACTACGTTCTTGCAGTAACAACAAAAATTCACCAAATATTGTTTGTTTGCTGTTTAACGTCCCTTTCAAGAATTTAATTTTCACTCATATAGAGACGACATCACGGGTGGAGGGCTGCAAAGATCTATGCTCGGCATTCATGCCATTGAGCAGTGAGGGATCTTAGTCGTGCCAGCACCTACTGCGACACGAGACCTCGGTTTATACAGTCTCATCCAAAGGATCGGTTTCCACGTCTCGCAGTGGGATTCGAACAGGCGACTTAAGGATCAACTTTTTACCTCGCGACTCTAGACCGAACTCTCTAACAACTGCACCACGCGGGAGCACTAAATAGTAACTCCTTGATTTAATGGATTAAGGCGATAAATTATAAACGTTCTTTGTTAAAATTTGCACTTTTCGGACTTCATTTAGGTAATGCAACTAACATACAAGGTCATGTGACGTCACATTTCTGACGTTCCAAAGGTCTCGTGCAGTTTGAACAGGTCTAGCACAAACTCTTGATTTATAGTTTGATTTATCTAGCCTGAAATAGCTATATAGGTTTATTAAGCTATTCAAAATTGCGTATTAAAAGCTATTTGAACAAATATTGTTTTATAAGAAAAAGACAAAAAGTCGCAAGTATGTGACTATGCCTATTGGACAAATTAAAACATTTCAAACAATAGATAGTTTAAATAAACATTGCTGCTTTTGAACACTTTTAAGCAAAAGATGTATTTTCATTGTTTGGATACACTGAAGACCCCTTTGTGTTCAGTGAGGCATGGATAAGTATGATTACTTCACATTGTGTTGAATTATTACCAATCAATTAACTTGTTGACCAGAATTGACCAGCTTTACAAATTCATTCAAATTCATTCAAAAAGTAACTATGTAGTCACATATCAATTGCTTTTTAATTATAGCCCCATACTTTTAGAACTTTGAGTGCAAAGTCTATTGAGGAGACCAGACTTGATGAATATTTTTTCATGCATTGTTTTCAGAAGAATACAAAGTTAGAAACTATCACTGCACCAAAGACCATGCTGAAAAATGCACATTTACGAAAAAAGTATTACAAAAAAAGCTAAACCAAGCTATTTCGAATAGTTTAATAAAGCTGTATAGCTATTTCAAGCTACAGCTAAATCAAGAGATTGTGCCGGACCTGTTGAAGAGGAGGATCTAAGGTAAAACTGAATAAGTATTACACATCTGCGCTCGCCTAACAGTCGCACCGTCAATATCTTAGCTTAACTTTTTTTAAAATTTCATCAAAATACGCAAGCATGTACCTGCTTTATTATATGCGCGAACAGTTACATAAATACGCTTTGATAATGGTAGTTCCTGTGAAAAGTTATACGCAGTTGCCTCTTCAACCAAATGAACTTCTTTTTCCTTAAGAATATCGTTTCCCCCCGGCGTGGTCCCTGCCCACCAAACATAATGAGATATTCCAGACTGTGGGTCTGTGAAACCATACCACTTGGCACCAATCCAATTTCTGTTATCGGTGAAAGTATTTATTGAATATACATAGTATGTTCAATCATTATAAAAATTAATACAATCTTAAAAGTAAACTGTTGAAGTAGATTGCAAATCTGTTAAACTTGAATCAAAAAGGTAAGAATATAAACTTTGTGAAGGAAAATTTCGTGAGTTTGAAAATAAAAGAGAAGCAAACCTTAGAGTTAACGCACTATTGGCCCTTTTTTAAGAACGAACAGAGTAACTGGTTTATAAAAATGAATTTGCAAATCACACTGTTATTAAATACTGGTATGTTTTATAAACAAAACCTTAGTTCAAGTTTTCTTTAACTTAAACAGAAGAATAATTTTTGGGGTTTGATTATTCTAATTATAAATTTGCAATCTTAATTAATCACCTAATTGACTGGTGTACTATGTCGTTTGAGGAAGTTCCATCTGTAACCATGCCCACATTTGGAGGACTATTGTCCATGATGACGCCGTCAGAGAAAGCTGTCGTACAAAATTCTGCAGTGTTACAGGCTGTTACAGATGTGTAGTAGGTTATTCCTGACCCAAAATGGACATAATCTACCGTCATTTCTGAAATTATATCAAAAAAAGGTATTATGTATTTGTTTTCTTCTATTAAATTTCTTTTCTATCAGAAAATATTACAAAGATAAACTTTTTTTTTTATTTTTCACCTGTACATAGATAGTCTCAAGAATTATCTATAAAACATAAATGTCTTTGAAACGTTAAGAAACATGTATATTCATACATAGATTTTGTCTAACCCTTTCACGATCAGTAGATCATCTATAATAAAAATTTTCGAACCTTTCAAAAGACCAACACTTTGACGTCCAATAACATCATCACAGCGACTACATGTTCCTACGGTAATGAAGATTTCTTTAATTGAAGAATGAGGGTCATGGAATCCTTCCCAGTAAATCTTTAATTTGGACATATCAGTTTGGTAATCAATGTCCACTTTATTTTTTCCTGAAGGTGAAAGTTCAAATACGTAACCTTCAACAGGAGGTGAAAGGTCTACTATGTAGGCCCAGGACGTCGCTAGTGACACCAGGCGGGCTTTATTGAGGGCCTGAGTAAATAGATAATGCTTTGTAGAATTACATAGAGCATCAAATGTATACATGATTACTTCGAACTTAGATATACCTTGATATTCATATAATATGCGTGCCCTTCCTTGATATCAAGTCTGTGATTTTTATCATTAATTCCACATTCGGAATCCTCACGGATGTAATCCATTACGTCAGAATACCCGGGCTGGGAACCAATAGACCACATGTAGAAATCTATCTCACTCTCCGGGTCACTAAATACATTCTTCCAACTGATCGATAAAGAAAATAGAAAATAAATATTTTTTTTCTTTATCTTGCTCAACTTTTCTTCGGGCTGCATAAAATTTAATATATACTAAATTAGATTTAGAATGCTTCTTTATTTTCAAAACCATTCTTTACATAGGAAGAGCATTGGAAATACATGTGTTTAATTAATATTTTTTCTAGAAATTTTTTTTACTAAAACAATATACAAATATCAACAGAACTCACTAGATCAGTTAGTATATCCTTCCGACTGATTTATATACATTTATGAATTGTTAAAATGTAATTTTGCATTGCATTCATTTTTAAAAGGTTGAGAATATTTTACTTATCAGCAGAAAGAAGGGGTATGAACATCTCTATCTCTATAGCTTTTTAAGTGATATATATGATTACCATGCTTCAATTTCCGAGACCGATGTTATGTGACGTCCGGTTATAGTAATAGGATTGTCAGATTTTAATGGAGGACTGGTATCAACAGTTATTGGTGATGAAGTTTGAACGGTTGTTCTATCAGCAAAATCGGTTGCTGAAAATGTAAAAACACACAGATACCACACAATCAAAACAACTATATTATTCTTTGATTAACATGATTAAACTAGTATCTTAACTACATATCTCAGCATAACATTGTAAATTTTGGACTTTCATCACGAGGGAGCAGCAGTCACCGTTTAAGTTGAGCGTGAATTTTAATTTAATTTTCGTTCATGCCGTTGCACTTGTTCGGTGTTCAAGGTTTGTGACGTCAAAATAAAATCAATAATTTAATGTTTTGATATCCTCGTCCTTGTTATGTTGTTTTGAATGCCGAATCTTTCAATACACTTTATATAGAAAATGTAAATATAACCTTTTATTGTAGCATAGTACTTGTGACCACTTTGTAAGGTAAGACCATGTACGGCTTTATGATTGACAACTCCAACATCTGTGAATGCAACAACGTCATTCCCACCAACAGAGGTACCTATACAAATAGATGAATGTTATTCGTGTACAGTCTGACAATAGAAGTTTTATGACATTTAATTTTTGATTTTTCAGTGAAAAAAAAACCAAGTACCAATTCCCAGCTGGTAAGCCTGCACTCCAAATGCATGAGAAATGGTCTGAAATTCTTCAACATCCTTAAATGAATCCCATGTTATATACAAGTCCGTTGTAGATGTCTGTAATATCGGGATAAAAAAACTAATGAGAAGCAACTTTCTAAGATGACAGACATGGCACAAAAAGAATTTCAATTGTTTAGTATTTCCGAATTCTTTGCGCTACAAATCAATTGGTGTCAAAGGGGATGATTATCTGCAACGTATATGACTTCATTGTTTTGAATTTTAACAAAGTTTCTAAATTTCATATAAAATGTCCTTTTAGATATGAAAGATATATTAGATCAAGTTCTTAAATTATCTGTTTTCATGCGAGATTTCCTCACTCAATATTCGAACACTCATCCATTTTATCATGAACAATTATAAATATTTAATATCTTTAACAAATATTGTATTGTTTTCTTCAAACCTGGTATTGCTGTCCTTGTTTGCCAATCCAAACATTCCCCACTGATGGAGGAGTGAGATCAACAACAACTCCGTCACTGCATTCATTAATTTCCGGTAGAACTTGAGTCCATTTTTCATGTTGTATTTCAGTATATTCCGTATGAATACATACGATGTATCGTTGACCATGCTCAAGTTCACCATCACCAAACTTTACGTTGATGAATTCGTGCTCTAATAAAATAGTAGTGACATAAATGTAGATGGTATTAGAGTTTTCAAGACTTTGAACATCTGAGTATTTATTCAGTAATTTAATAATGCTTTGCATCAAGAAAATAAATAAAATGTAGACAATTGTAAAACATTAGCAATTGTATTCGCAGTTTCTAAGTAAATGATGAATTTATATTTCTTTACTATAATCAAGTTTTCAGTTAATAAGAATTGTAATAATCTAACCCGTGGTGGCACATTTGATAGAGTTCGGATGACTGCAGGGATCACTGAGTAATAGAGAAGTGGACGGCAGATAGTAACTAGTGACATCGATATTCCGGGCTTTGATTACTGCCACCGTGTAAGAATTATATCGCAGAGTAGGCCACACAGCTGAAATGTAATTCTTATTTGGAGTATAGTCTCTGTCTACATATGGCCATCTAGCGTTTGTCTGTAGTAGAATTGCCTCTCCATAGCCATCTGAATGTGTTAAAAAACTTACATAATAACAAAAAATGAAAATAATAATTCGTTAGAAGTATGCTTGAATACAGATATAAACTTGTCAAGACATAAAAATATATAAATTATCCGAACGCATATTAAACTTTTAGGCAGTGAGTTGACTTTCATCTTAAGTTGGATTTTGACAGAGATTATATAACGAAAATACAAAGCATAATGAATTTAGCTGAGAGATTATGATGATTTTACTTTTAAAAAAGGAAGACAAACCTCTGCCAGCCTCTTGAGCTCCAACAGCGTCAATTACGATGTTTGGTTTGATGTTTCGTGGATCAAACGCGCTACAGTCCTTAATATCGGCGGAAACTGTTGAGTAAAGTCCCGCTTTGTTGTATCCTCGCACTGTTAATCTTCGACATTTCGAAAAGTCCACATTTCCTGTTAGTGGAATCGTGAATTCCATCTACAACATATCATAAAAGTATTTTTTAGAGTCTATGAATAGTCCATTGCTATCAAAATATAAATTCATGGAGCTAAAGAAAATCAAAAAATATGTATCCAATTTTTGTAATGCCCTTTTCAAAGATTCCAGAAAATCTGCTGTCTTGGTATTTTTAGGGACAATCTTAAAATACAGGCTTCAATTTTGCACTTTGAAGCACATTATAAAAATTTAATACTACTTCTTCCCTAAATTGTAAATTGTATTTTTTAGGAAACACTCAATTCTACCGAGGTTTTTAAATCTCAAAACTTACGACATTTTTATATTTTATACAATATGAAAAATATTATAGTTACTATGCAATAAGGATTCATACTGAAATAACAAAATATGTCTATAAGCTTCAAAGTCCACATGTTTAAAATTTCAAAAGTATAAATTTTGTACTTTGTCCTGCATAACAACTTATAACCCCTTTTAAAGAGTTTAAGTTTATTATAACCGTAAAAACACATTATCCTATCAATTGAAAAAAATAAAATCATTTTCTTAAAAGAATTCCTTTTTTTTATCTCTGTTGTCTAAACGCTCCAAAATGTGATAAATAATTTTAAAAAATTATTTAGAATTATAAATGTGCTGTTTTTAACGATTCTGTGCTGAATTTTGTGCAATTGAAACCCAAGTCAGCTACTTAAAATGTTAATTTGATTGGTCAGATATTTTGTTTTATTCTCTCTCTCTCTCTCTCTCTCTCTCTCTCTCTCTCTCTCTCTCTCTCTGATTTGAAAAAAGTATTCACTTTATACTGTTCAGGTATGACTTCGAAATTCTTAAGTTCATGCCATGGAGTGTGCAGTCTCCCGATGTCGGATTGGTCCGTTATGGCCCATTCATACCTGTTTATAACGCCATACTTTTCAGTTGGTATTTGTATGTCTGGATCTTCAAACATATCCATCACAACATCCAGCTTAAATAGAAGGATACCGGTTTTAAGATTGCAATTTCATATAACATAGTAAGATTATATTCGTAATACTTGGAAAGCAAAAGCCAAGGATTACCTTTTCAGTTGCAGATGAATTTTCATGAGCAACTTTCATGCCACCTGCTATGGGCGGGTTGGCTAGAATCATGATGCCATTGCTGTTTATCGGCAAGAAACAAATTTCTCTGGCACATGGTTTTAAGACAAAGCGATACAATTTCCCGGGATCTAACAATAGCCCGTTCACATGGACTTCCTGGTGACCGTGACTGGATTTGAAGTTTTGGAAGACACTCCAATCATCTATATAATATTTCATTTGTCATTGAGAGCTTATAGTGGAATTCATTTATTATCTTATTGATATTTTAAACCTATAGGTTAAACTGGTGAATGGTTGATCATGCAATATTTTAATCAGATAGTTTTAAGGCCTAATTTCCCTCCCTTCTAAATTTCATCAAAATAAATTTTCTAGAGAAAAAGTATACCACTAATAAAAATACACTTTGTATATGGTATACTGTAAATTATACAATCTTTTTATTTCTTATGAGAAAATAAAAATATTTTAATTTGTAAGGTTTAAGTTGGAAAACTATAAATAACTATCAAATAAATTAGCAAAAGAAAATACAACTCAATGTTAGAAACATGTTAACTTTTTTGCCAAAATTTCAAATTTTAAAATAGCCTTATAGGAATATTAATTACAGTTAATTCAAGAAAATGGCTAAGAAAATATCACCTGATGTAACTAATTTTCGAAAATTTATGGAATTAATTTCTTCGAAAATTATCTTTCTTATCAGAGGGACATTAGACCTTAAGTCAAATGACACAATGATATGAATAATGTAAAACTTTTGCTTATGATATACCTCCATATAGTGATCTTTCTTCGATGGAATAGTACATATCTGGGGTGAAGGGTAGCGTTTCCTCTGATATTTTCCAATATGCATTTAAAGTGTCCGTTGAAGACTGGAAATCGGTTTTGTTTGAGCAATTTGTGATAATATCCTGATAAAATTAACAATAAAGAACACACAATAAACAATCAGCATGTTTATTAGTCAAAGCTAAGAATTAAAACAAAATAAAGATCTCTACTAATAAAAGATCTAGCGGCAGTAAGAACTTACATCTAAAAGGTAAATAACTTACCCAGTCGTGGTGAATCACACTTTTTGTTGTGTTTTCGTCTAGAATAGTTAAAGCATTAAAAGCAGGATTTCACTCCCGATGTTTATTGTGTTTCCACACATCGTTACAAAGCAAAAAAATATTTATGACAAAACTTCTAACATCATAAATTCCTTGAAAAAGAAAAACTTTAAGGATTCTGCATACCTGGTTCAATGCATGGTTCTCCGTCAAAAACTGAAATACCAGCTAAACTTGCATTTTCTTTCAAAACCGTTATCCCATCTGAGATCACCTGAACGCTTCCAGCTGACGTTATAGCAGTAATGGTAACGTAGTAGGTCTATAAAATAAGTATAACATTGGATATTACATATATGCCAAGATTTTTTTTAAATAAGATATTCAACCTAACAAAAAAATGCTATAGTAATCTATATTTATTATAGTATCAAAGTAAAAACTTTGAAACTTTGATTTACTATTCTATCGTAAATCAAAGTAAAAACTTTGAAACTTTGATTTTGATTTACTTTAGTGAAAACTTTAAAACTTTCATTTACTAAATTTTGATTAACTATAGTAAAATCTTAGCAACAATAGCAAACTATAGTTTACTATAGTATTTTTTTGTTAGGGCCAAACACTTTATTGAAAGAATTCAAGTTCCTGATCATATTATTTTTACCTTGAAAAATGTCAAAGAAAGTCCATGCTCTATATGAAAAATATTTTTCCCGACATCTCTTTGTGGAACAACGTCTGCAGCGCCAGGTGATGTTCCAGCTCGAAATGTGTATGTTACATCAAGGTATGCATGAGAAAATCCTGTCCATCTTGCAGAAAGGCTATTCTTAGAGGTCGTATAATCAATATCTTCTACGTCCTGATTTTGTGTCATCAAAAATAGAAAAATACAATATAAAGGGAAAAAAATTCCCCAGAAAAAAACTATAATTCTTAAATTTTTAAATGAATTATGAGAGTGGCAATTGAATACTTACGAGAAAATGAAATCTCAGTTCATTCTGCAAGAACAAAAAACAATTTTATTTGCATATTTCTCTTTAACCTGAAAGAGAATATATCAGGCTTAATTCTCCGTTTTCATTGTAAAGAAAGCTACATGAATAACTTGCATTTAAAATAGAAAAGATATTTATTAATAGGAAACTAATGCATTAAAAACAAATCGTAAAAATTTGAGAAGCTGTATATATCATTTTTTTAAAGGTAAGTGGAGTCTTTTAAGAAATAATAAAATTTAGGATATCATATGGAACACACCGCTGTATCCATGACAATTCCAGTTGACGGAAGTTGCACATTGTGTATGTATGGTTCTGAGACACCAAACGTAGTAAGACCCGCTGCGTTCTCTGCTTTTATCGTGACGTAGTACGTGTGGTTACCATGCAGTCTCCACTCAGTGGCATTTATTGGGATTGCTGTGCATGTTGGTGGTTCCGATACGGTACAGTTGACACCAGCCGATAAACGCGAATACCTCTTTACCTGTGTTCCCTTGATCGTGTGACCTGTGTATACAAAGAGTTTCTCAAATGTGATATTTTTGGGCTTGTTTTTCTTTCATAAACTTTTGTGTAGAAGTTACAAAATAACACATATATGAGTGATGATATATCCTAAATAATTGATTTTAAGTGAAGACATGTTTAAATTTTGATTTGTATGGACGAGGGTTCATCCAACAGTAATGTCATAACAACTGCAATACAAAATCTTTAATAATACATTGTTATTAACAAATTTTATATACTAATCCATAACCAAGATCTACACAAAACAAAATTTTATATACTAATCCATAACCAAGATCTACACAAAACAAAATTTTATATACTAATCCATAACCAAGATCTACACAAAACAAAATTTTATATACTTATCCATAACCAAGATCTACACAAAACAAAATTTTATATACTAATCCATAACCAAGATCTACACAAAACAAAATTTTATATACTAATCCATAACCAAGATCTACACAAAACAAAATTTTATATACTAATCCATAACCAAGATCTACACAAAACAAAATTTTATATACTTATCCATAACCAAGATCTACACAAAACAAAATTTTATATACTAATCAATAACCAAGATCTACACAAAACAAAATTTTATATACTAATCCATAACCAAGATCTACACAAAACAAAATTTTATATACTAATCCATAACCAAGATCTACACAAAACAAAATTTTATATACTAATCCATAACCAAGATCTACACAAAACAAAATTTTATATACTAATCCATAACCAAGATCTACACAAAACAAAATTTTATATACTAATCCATAACCAAGATCTACACAAAACAAAATTTTATATACTAATCCATAACCAAGATCTACACAAAACAAAATTTTATATACTAATCCATAACCAAGATCTACACAAAACAAAATTTTATATACTTATCCATAACCAAGATCTACACAAAACAAAATTTTATATACTAATCCATAACCAAGATCTACACAAAACAAAATTTTATATACTAATCCATAACCAAGATCTACACAAAACAAAATTTTATATACTAATCCATAACCAAGATCTACACAAAACAAAATTTTATATACTAATCCATAACCAAGATCTACGCAAAAAAAGAATAAATTTAGAAACTACATTTTGACATGCGTAAAATAATTTTAATACAACAACTCAAAACTAAACGATTTATAGCAAAATGTCATTAAGATACTGAAAAAGAAATATGTGAGAGGTTTATAAAAATATGCGGATGAGTTTAAATACTTAACGGAAGAAAACGTCGAAAACAACGTCGGTTACATTTTCCCCATGCGATGAAAGACAAATCCTATCTAAATTTATCTTCATGTTTTAAAAATAATTTTTTTTTTATAATTGAATGAAATTTAATGACAAAAATCAAAATAGATAGGGGATTAAGTACGTAAAATTTTGTTGATAAAATTCTATTATTAAAAATTTTTCTAGCAGTTGTGACTTTAATTTTGGATCAAGCCTTGTTTCATTAAGATATTTGTGAGATATATTGACCTCTATAAAAGTATTCTCACCAACAGCATACTGAAGAAAAAGAGGAAATGGATCCTCTGCATCTATAAAACTGTAAGCATTCCAGGAAACGACCAAATGTCCATCTTGGTGACTAACTGTTATTGGTGGGGAGAAAACTGGTGAAGTTGTATCGACGAAACAAGGACCTATAGACTGAGTTTTGAAAGAAAAAAAAAGACAGGTTTAAAGTTATTTATTGGAATTGATGCCGTCCTACTCATGTTCTGTGACTTTAAGAACAAACAGATATAGTTACCATAATTTTCTGATTGTCATGGAGACATGAATATTTCCCCTCAGGGTATAGATTTTGTCAAGTTCCGTTCTTAAAATGTAGGCGAAGCGACATAATAGATATGTTAATTTTTGTTCGCGAAACATTATATATGTGTAATCGTGTAAGACCTATTGCTTCCAAAACTTTCATTCTTAATTATATTCTAGTATATATTACTGAAGATTATATACATATATCTGTACAATAATAACTAAACTTATTTAAAAAACTGTTCTGTTTATATGTACCAAATAATAATACTATGTCAAGAAAGTGTAAACTTTTTTATACATAGTATTACCTGTATGCCTTCAATGTTTGACTTGCTGATGGTTTTAATGATGAAATAGAAAGGTTCTCCCTTTGGTAAATCGGCATGCATCAGGTGAAAATGTCGATGTTGTTTTGAAGATTTAAAGGAAAGTATATCTGGAGCTGAATTTCCTGCCACTGTGGATAAGCCAACCTCATAATCATGGATGTTTGTTTCATTGGCAGACCAGGACAGAATGATCTACAAGGAATTATAACTAGCTAAGAGAAAAGGTTTATAAATAAAGGGAAAAATGATTATATTTTCATTTCATATTCTAGCTTTATCTATAATTAAAAATGATAAATTTAAATACATACGTGTGATGATGTGGACAGGGCAAAGCTCATAATGGCAGATGTCTTTGAAGTATTTGCACAAAAAACTGATCCATTTACTTTAACATATGAACCATTTTTGTATTTTTCGACAGGAAATATGTCGATGTTGGATAAGGGTACAGCTTTCCTCCTGCTCAGTTAAAATATCATAAAGAATTCAAGTCATCATTTTCTTTGAAAATGAAAAACTAAACCCCATGAAATTAAATTACTCACACACAATCATTCGTTGGACTAGCGATTAATCTTCTGTGTCTGTTTCTACTGATCACCCAATAAGTTGTTTTCCTTATGTCAGTTACTAAACTTTCCCTAACGTGAGCATTGGTAATGTCCACCTCTGACACAGCTGGTACTACAGCAGTGATTGTGACACCGTCAGAACAGACCGGTTTAGAAGGCTCTAGAGCTCGATTGAAGGCAACAACACAAACGTAATACTTCCCCTCAGTGGTGACTGCGTGAGTTGCATCCGTTGCATATGTTTCTTTTAACTGCAAATACAAGTGCTAGACTTTTATTAACGAAAGTCAATAAATATCATTTATTTACATGAGGTTTCAGTTGATATAACAAAACTCGATATTAATTACATGTACATTTTTTCTAGGAAACTTACAAGATGATTGTTGTTATCGAGTTGGAAACCATCTGCAAGAATTGGTTCCGTGTTGAAGCCATACATGTAAAACATGACACCGCTCTCTTTATCAAAGAAGCCATCCCAGTGAGCATTTAGTGTCTTGCTTTGTTGGAAGTCCACCTCATTCGTTCCTCTGACTCCGTCTTGTACACTTCCGGTGTGTGGAGGTGAAACATCAATCGTTATCTGACGGGTATTGATCATAAGTAGGATTTTGAAAACATTTTAATATATTTTAAGAACACTCAATAGTGATAAGTTAATAAACGAAGGACAAATATTGTTTATATATATATATATATATATATATATATATATATATATATATATATATATATATATATATATATATATATATATATATATATATATATATATATATATAAAATTCTATGAAGGAAACCTAAAAGAAGATATGCTTATGTTTGTTTATGTGAGTGTGTCTGAGTATGTGTGTGGCGGACGGCGGTTTGTTTGTGTATGTGTTTGTTTGTTCATAATATATACTGAATAAACTATTAATTAAAATAAAGAAGCATACCTTCAAAATGTAAGTCACATTATATTGGTTATTTATTGTATGAATATGATTAAGCTAGAGACATTTTATTGCCATCGTAAACGATTTATACCTTCTTTGTTAGCACAGTAGACAACAAAGCTTTGTTTGTCGCATTAACCTCCAGGAAATAGTCAGAATCATGGGCACCACTGTCTTTGCCATGGAGAAGTCCTCCATCTATCTTAACCTCTGGCTTTACTTGAAAATGCCGATGATAAGCTCCCCAGTGATTTGTTTGGTAGCAGTTTGGTCCTCTGCTATAGTTTCCATAATTCTGAATGCATTCAGTGATATTCTGTCGAAATGTAAATAATCATATTGCAAAAAGGTATAAAAACCATAATGCAGATGAAAAAGTACTGTCATGCAACTTTGTATATTTTTTTTTAATTTGCGTAGCATATATTTATATATTTACATTTGCAAATGCTTTCCTTTATATAACACTATTGAAAGCAATGTGTATCTATATCCTTATAAACACGGATTCCTCACGTCATAAACACTCGACGTAATTTCTCAGTGACGTCATAAAGTGTCGACGTGCAATCAATGGATTAAACACGTGCCGTTGAGTTTAAAAAATAAAACATTTCACACTTAAAGATTATAATCAGGCAAATATAAAATATAAATAAGTCACAAATGTAAATATAAGTAATAAGGTATTATTCTTAAACATCTATCGGGATATAAATACGGGTTGGTACGAGATCAAATTTACCATAAAGCCCTTCGAGCTTTATGGAATTTGATCTCATGACCATCCCGTATTTATATCCCGATAGATGTTTAAAAATGATACCTTATTTCTTAATAGTAGCAAAAAAAAGTGATAATCCTAGTAATTTACAGGAATAAAAATCCTGATGTTATGATAACTGCATTAATATCCTTTGCAAACAAAAGTTTTTCTGATTGGCAATTATATAAATCTATTATTTTTTCGGTCTGAGAGATTATGTTTTCGTTTGTTTAAGTATTTTTTTACACCAAGTATTTACTTTAAATAGCTTTGAATTTCACTTTAATTTCTATATTTGGTAAAGTTCCTGCTAGTTTCCCATATTTAACATTGCACATAAAATATATTCCGCAGGTAGGTTAAGGCTTCCCGTAGAATATGACAGTGCACTCTGTACCTTCACATCTCTGAACTACCAAAATATGACGTCATAATGGAAAATGACATCAGGTCACTGCAAATTTGAGGTGTTATGACGGGGAGAATGTCATGAACTTCACACTTTATTTCAAACTGCATGTAAAATGCTAGATAGCTATTGCAAAATTCACGCATCGTTAAAGGTTTTTTAAGTCTTATATGTCCGAATATTTTAAAAATACACCGCTTACCTACCCTTGATTGAAATTCATCATGTTCAAAATGCTTATGAAAAATATACTTTTGAAATGTACTCTATTTTATACCCGTGGTTGGAGGTAGAATTTATTTTGTGTGTATAAAAGAGTCTGGCGCAGGTGACTAATGAGGATTAATCTGAGAATATTTGTGGAAATCTGTAAGAAGAGGTTGTTCTCTAACTTAATCTTGCTTGGGAAAAATGTGTGTTGGCTTTGTTTTAATACAGATTACGATATTGTGTGGAAAATACCCTCAAATTTGTAGGTAAGTTGAATTTCTCAGGAAATATTTTGTACCCAAGTAATACTATGACTTTTCCCAAGCACATTTCGGATACACAAGGATACGATGAGTTTATTTATATAACAAAATGTTAATAATTATTGTGTTAATCAGCTGCGCCGAAGCGATTTATATGACACACTTCCAAAAATTATAAATGACCGTCACGTGATCAACAAAGTCATGTGATATCATAACAAATATGCTAATAAATATAATAATAAATATAAATTGGAAGTACTAAAGTTCAATACTTACAAATTAAAACCAAAACCGACCTCGCAATGACATATTATGTTTTGAGCGCATTTTAAAGCTTCGGGAAGCCTTAACATAGCTGCGTCATTGGTAAAATATCAAATGTTGAAAAAAATACAGATAAAGTTTAATTTGTCTATTGAAATAATAAACCTTTAGTTTATTCATAAACGCTTTTAAGATCCACATTTCAATATATATTTAAAGGGACCTGGACACAATTCAATATTTTCAATTTAATTTTATTCTTTTCTTTAAAAATAGCTTAATTTTAATGATTCGATCTCATATGAATATTCTAAGAATTAAATGACAACAACATTTTTCATAACATCATGTCAAACATCTGTGTTTGTAAACAGGACACGGGCTCTGTTATTGTTATTGTTTACATCGAACTGGGTGTGTTTGTTTTGTCTGCACACATCACAGATCACCGACGGGCAATATTAGTGAATTGGTTATACTTTTCCCAATTTCTACCCTGGATTTTTTAGATCATAGTTTTAATATTTTGTCACATTAAAATCATCCTATCATACTTTTTGGTAATGTATTTTATATTTCATCTAAATATCCCGTGGGGAACTCCTTCGTTTTAAATGTGCTATTACTGTACATATCCTTCACTGAACCTCAATTCACTGGACCTTAAAACCCGCCAGTCAGTGCGAGTTAGTTGGGACACGGCAGTCCAGAGAGGGGGACGCTTTTACCCCCTTTCAGGTATGTTTTGTAACCAGCATTAATAGTTACACCGAGTACCAGTATTACTTGCAGGGCTTACGTTGTAATTCTTGTGTATAATGGTCCAGCTTTTCTGAGGTAAGGTTTATGTTTATAATTTTATCTTAGTTATTTTCTTGTATCATTGATTTGTTCTTAAACACCCAGTCGCCGCATTTCTCATCAGTTTTAGCATGTATATTTTGTTTAATGTGATTACTATATATAGCAACACGTAGTTGAATATTTATAAGTATGGTGTACAATTTCCGTCATAATAATTTGTCCGTAAATTAACAATTCGTAATATTGCATTTGTGTATGGGTTGTATGTATAGTTTAAGCATATCATGTGTGTTTGAATCTTATCTAAGACGTGTACATTATCTGTAAATCTGATAATGAGTAAAGTATGTCAAGCCACAAGAGCTTATTAGTAAAACTTTTGTACGTGTATATGTTGGAGCAGGTTCCATCCATCCATAGTTTGAAGTCTATGTTGAGACTGTGTCGAGAGGCCACCTGTGCCTTCAGTGAGTCCGCCCTTCCATTGTGATGAGTAGTAGAGAGGCCACCCTTGGGCCCTTGAGATCTTCCTCTAGGATGTGGAATGGAAGGCCGCAGGACAAAAACCCATTATAGGTCAAACAACGGATTTTGTATATTTGTACATTTATTGTAATTAAATTTGTAAATTATCTGGACAAATATTTTGGGTTATATTTAAACTTAGTAAAGTAAAAGAAATAGTAAATTCGCTCGACTATCTGTGACATATTTTTCACTCAAAATTTTTACTTGTATTAAGTATAATGGATAAAGTTTACTTTCAACGTAAAAAGTGTAAGGATATGTGTCAATCAAACGCGTCCCAAAATTCCTAGTTTTATTTATTTCTAGAGAAGAGAATTTTGTAAACTAGTTTTTATTATATTTCCGTGTGAAGGGATGTAGCAATATGTCAGTTATGATATTATATTTAAAATAAAAAGAGTTTTAAATCTGTGTCCAAGTTCCTTTAATGTACAAAGAATTCTTTAGACAATGTAATCAGTTACTTGAGATGATCCTTGGGCAAACAAATCTTCGTGGCCATGAAGAATAATTTCTCCTGTAAAATTATCATACAATCTCCAGTAGATGGAATCTAGGCCACTGTGGTAGTCATAGGCCAACCATTCAATTCTAAATTGGATGAAAATGTAAATCATGAATAGCGAAAAATATTTACTACTTACGGAAATTTTGCTCGTGCAAAAAATAAAATAACCAGAAAATCTCTCTCTCTCTCTCTCTCTCTCTCTCTCTCTCTCTCTCTCTCTCTCTTGACATCATCTTTAAAATAGAGTTAAATTGGTTACGTCATTTCCGTAAAGTCTTCCAGCCTGTGGACGCTGACATTAAGTCTATCTCCTCGTGTCAACCATACATTCTCTATTATAGGAGGAGTGGAATCTCTGTAAATTGTGAGAGTGTCGCTCAAAGTTTTATTTAAAATGTCCACAGCAACAACTGTGATGACTGCCTTGTCACCATCAGACCAGTCCATTTTTACTGTCTCTGACTCCGTGGAGATGTCGCTAACTGAAGATAACGGTCTAGAATCTTTTAAGCCTGATTCGTTATAGACGTTGAACTGGACTTTAAAATCAACACATCCTGTGAAAGGCATTAAACGGATTTTTTCAAATCATCATGAGCTGAATTCTGTTAACATAAGAAAATTATGAGACATTCTACAATACATACATGTACCTTCCATGTTTTTCACTTTATCCACGGATCGCTGTCCAGAGTAATCATCGTAATTCTCCGTAATTCCATAACTCGGTGAAATTTCATTGAGCCATTTGTTATGATCATGCACAGCGTTTCGAAATCTCTTTTTCCATTGCACTTTAACAATCTTTGTATCATCAACCACCCACGTGTACTTTGTTTTCTCAGATGCAGTTTGGACACGTGTTAACCGGAATGGGTTGTGTGAGACATGTGAATTGCTGTCATACAGAACGAAACGCCTGGTCGTTTTATAATTTCCAGCTTTGTCATAAGCTGCCAGATGGATGGAAAAGAGTCCTTTATCTCCCGGGAGTTTCAGTGTTTTCTGAAAACAGAAAGAGAAAAAGTTTTCCATCAAAGTACTAGACTTAGTATTGGAAATAGAAGCGAAAATTAGTGAGAAGTATTTCCCAAATTTTCAAAACTAAAAATAAATACAAATGTTTCATTCAAAGAAATGATTCCGCTGTCTTCCTGTTGTCCGTCTTCTTGCAATGAGTTATTTCTGCTGGAGACTTTGTGTATTGCATAATGGTATTCCTTTATTCCTGCCATGTCATCATACCAATCATTCCATGTAATTGTAATCGTGGACTGAAATTTGCAAGTTTTAGCCTATAACTCCTCAAGTTTAAAATATAAAATAATTCTCTTAGAGATGCAGGAAATATTTCTCGTAACAATATGAAAAGTATTAATCTTATATGTAATAGATAATAACTCATATACAGACGTTTGACAAACATCAAATACAAGCAGGTCTTACATTTTCTGTTAGGTCTGGCACAACAAGTGGGTCTTTGCAGTCATCATTTATGGCTATATTTTCCAAACAATGGTAAGGGGGGACAAAGTCCCAACGAAAAACGTACTGTAATGATTTAGTTGTTCCCACCAAATAATGGGTTTCATTGACATTTCGTTCTCGATTTTCCATGATAAGATGTCCTCCTATTTTTGCCTGTATGGTGAATGTCATTCTAGAAATGGTATACACTTGGTAATTGTATGAATTGGATACAGTTGTATAAATTGGTAAAAATTTTTAGGGTCTTCCGTCTTCAGCGGAAGACCCTTCTATTATTCTTCGGTTTCTTTTTTACCTTTATTATTAGGGTCTTCCGTCTTCTGCGGAAGACCCTTCTATTATTCTATTGTTGATTTTTCACTTTTCTTATTATTATTATTATTCTTTTTTTTTTCCTTACCGATTTTGTGCAGAAGATTTCTCGGAGATCGCTCGATCGATTTGCTTCAAATTTTCAGGATTAATGCGTTGCTATCTGAAGTTTATAACGCCGCTTCAGTTTTTGAGAAATCACTTCCGGTCGGAAGTTATCGCCCTTTGATCGATTTTTTGATAGACTTCGTGTCTGCACAAAAACTCAAGAACGACAAAAGCTAGAGTGCTGAAACTTTCAGTGGTGATAGAGGACATGTTCTAGTTGTGCACCTTGGTTTTCAAATTTTCCGGAAGTGCGAAGTATGGAAGCTCGGTAGGGGTCAAAATTTAGGACGTGATTTATGAGTGAATTTTAGAGACATTTCTTATAATAACATTTTAAATAAAAGTATTTTGTTAAAACATATTGAACAAAAAGTCTTTAAAATCACAAGACCTTTTATTTGATATCAAGAAAAAGGGGCCGACTCCTCAAATTAGGGGCTCAGAAGGGCCAAAAGTCTTTCATCTATAACTCTTTAATGATCAATATTTTGTTATAAATTACTGAAGCAAAAATGTTTATCTTAACACTCTGCAACTATATATTATAAAATTTTGATCATATGTTACGTAATAAGGGCCATAAGGGGCCAGAATGCTAAATCATTGACACATTATATCTCGAAAAGGAGAAATATTTTGATAAGCAATATTGAACAAAAGATGTTCAGAATAATGTTCTAAACAATATACACCCTTTTATTTTTTGCAAGACATCCCCATTAAGGACTTGGAGGGCTGGCCCCTAAATATTGTTATTCTATATATCTCTTAAACTAAAGGAAATTTCTGAATAGTTGTTGAACAAAAAGTCTTCAAAATTACAAGACCTTTCATTTGATATCATGAAAAAGGGGCTAACCCCTCAAATTAGGGGCTCAGAAGGGCCAAAAGTCTTTCATCTATAACTCTTTAATGATCAATATTTTGTTATAAATTACTGAAGCAAAAATGTTCATCTTAACATTCTGCAATTATATATTATAAAATTTCGATCATTTGTTACGTAATAAGGGGCCATAAGGGGCCAGAATGCTAAATCTTTGACACATTATATCTCGAAAAGGGGAAATATTTTGATAAGCAATATTGAACAAAAGATGTTCAGAATAATGTTCTAAACAATATACACCCTTTTTATTTTTGCAAGACATCCCCATTAAGGACTTGGAGGGCTGGCCCCTAAATATTGTTATTCTATATAACTCTTAAACGAAAGGAAATTTCTGAATAGTTGTTGAACAAAAAGTCTTCAGAATTACAAGACCTTTCAAGTGATATCAAGAAAAAGGGGCTGACCCCTCAAATTAGGGGCTCAGAGGGGCCAAAAGTCTTTCATCTATAACTCCTTAACGTTAAATATTTTTGATATTAATTATTGAAGCAAAAATGTTCATCTTCCCAATCTGCATCTATATATCTTAAAATTTTATAAAAAATTTCGTAATTAGGAGCCATAAGGGGCCAGAATGCTAAATCTTTGACGCAAGCTCGTCTAGTAATTATTAATTTCTTTAATCTTTCTGAGCAGAAATCTCTTGAAATGCCTCTGTTTATTGGATCTTTCCACCTATCTGTATGACCTTGACCTTTGACCTTGATATATGACCTTGACATTAAGGTCAGAATGTTTACTGAGGAAGTGGAGAGTTGATTACAACTCCCAGTGTGTAACAGGCTAAGGATTATTATATAACCCCCCCTTTTTTTTTCGTGGAAAAAAAATGACAGCAGTTGCAACATGCAATATCTCTCTAGAATTGAATTCACACATCGGATCGACACGAAACTTTAGAGAACTGTAGCTGAGACTCCAAAGTAACTGCCTGTAGAATTTTATGGTCTTTCTTTGAAAAATGTAGAAATTACATTTTTTTTCGGAAAAACTTCAAAGAAAAAAATCATCCCGAGAGCAATGTGAAATCTTTCTCTTAGTTTCAAATCACACTTCAGATAGATATAAGATTTCAGGGAGTTGTAGCTAAGAACCTACTGGAACTTTCTTAAGTTTTATTGTCCTTCTCTCCCTCTCTCCAAAAAAAAAAAAAAAAAGAATAATGAAAATTATCGGCAAACATGACTTTGGGTTAATTTTGAAACTAAGGACATGCATCCAGCTACAGTAGCAGGTTAAAACATAGAACGTAAAGAATTTTTTTTTTTAAATGACCTTGACCTTTGACCTTGACCCAAAGGTCACAATCAAGCTTAAGGATGTGGAAGTAGTTACAATTGTTAGTTAAAAAGAAACAAAAAATAAATAATTCCCCCCCCCCTTTCTTAAAAAAAAAAAATCACATCAACAACAACGTAGAATATTTCTGTAAAATTCAAACCAGACCTCGGATCGACACCAAATTTGGTACAAATGTAGTATGGACCTCAGAGAAACTTTCTGGAAAGTTTTACGGTGAGTCTTATAAGTATATAGAAGTCATGAAGTTTCACGGCAAAAACTACAAGTTCTGTTGTGTTTGAAATTAAAGTGCAGGTGAACGAAGAAATGATCTTAACCTTTTATTGGCTATTTCTTCAGATGTCGTTAATAGCATTCGATTCTCCTGATATGATATGACATTTTAATAACGAGCATTCTCTCTTTCTTTTACATGTGGAATTTATTGGATTTTTATTTGGAATTAATCAGTTTCCAGAAATAGCGATTTTCGATATATTAAAAACAATTCTCGCTTTCATTGTCGTGTTTCCCTTCTAAAAATGCATGTTGGGAGTTTAATTTGTGCTACATATATTTAATATAACCCAAAGAAATGCTTATTTAGTTGTTTCATATTTATTTCAGGATATTCAGTCAGAAATGCTAAAATCCGAACCCGATCTTTAAAGCTTTCAACAAAGCTACATGTATTTACAAAAAAATCAGCATGCTCACAATATCGATGAATCGGGCCACAGTCCACTAATACATTTTCATTAGGGAACAGTGTTAACGTTTTCTCACGCAGCCCGTCCCTTCTTATTTTATATACTGCTTGCAAGTTCAGGAACTATTTCCTTTTACGGAACTTCTTTCTTCCCCTACCGATTCTAAAAATACGCTTGCATCTATTCTATAGTCCTAAACATTTTAACTTACTACTGTTGTGGGAATGCGTGGCCTAATGGTTAGCGCACCTGCCTTTCAACCCAAGGGTTTTGAGTTCGATCCCTGCTTGAGGAGCAATTGTTTTTTTTTAAATAGACTTTTACGGAAACATCCAAAAATGTTAAACGACCAGTAATTTGTCTAGGAGCAATGATTTCTCTTTGTTCTTGTTATTCTTAGGTTTCTTTTCCACTATTTTTATTATTAGGGTCTTGCGTCTTCAGCGGAAGACCCTTCTATTATTCTTAGGTTTCTTTTTTACCTTTATTATTAGGGTCTTCCGTCTTCAGCGGAAGACCCTTCTATTATTCTTATGTTTCTTTTTCAAGCTTCTTATTAGGGTCTTCCGTCTTGAGCGGAAGACCCTTCTATTATTCTTAGGTTTCTTTTTTACCTTTATTATTAGGGTCTTCCGTCTTCTGCGGAAGACCCTTCTATTATTCTATTGTTGATTTTTCACTTTTCTTATTATTATTAGGGTCTTCCGTCTTCTGCGGAAGACCCTTCTATTATTCTATTGTTGATTTTTCACTTTTCTTATTATTATTATTATTATTATTCTTTTTTTTTTTCCTTACCGATTTTGTGCAGAAGATTTCTCGGAGATCGCTCGATCGATTTGCTTCAAATTTTCAGGGTTAATGCGTTGCTATCTGAAGTTTATAACGCCCTGTCAGTTTTTGAAAAATCACTTCCGGTCAGAAGTTATCGCCCTTTGATCGATTTTTACATAGACCTTGTGTCTGCACAAAAACTCAGGAACGACAAATGCTAGAGTGTTGAAACTTTCAGTGGTGATAGAGGACATGTTCTAGATGTGCACCTTGGTTTTCATATTTTCCGGAAGTGCAAAGTATGGAAGCTCGGTGGGGGTCAAAATTTAGGACGTGATTTATGAGTGAATTTTAGAGACATTTCTGATAATAACATTTTAAATAGAAGTATTTTGTTAAAACATATTGAACAAAAAGTTTTCAAAATCACAAGACCTTTCATTTGATATCAAGAAAAAGGGGCTGGCCCCTCAAATTAGGGGCTCAGAAGGGCCAAAAGTCTTTCATCTATAACTTTTTAATGATCAATATTTTGTTATAAATTACTGAAGCAAAAATGTTTATCTTAACATTCTGTAGCTATATATTATAAAATTTTGATCATATGTTGCGTAATAAGGGGCCATAAGGGGCCAGAATGCTAAATCTTTGACACTTTGTATCTCGAAAAGGAGAAATATTTTGATAAGCAATATTGAACAAAAGATGTTCAGAATAATGTTCTAAACAATATGCACCCTTTTAATTTTTTGCAAGACATCCCCATTAAGGACTTGGAGGGCTGGCCCCTAAATATTGCTATTCTAGATATCTTTTAAACGAAAGGAAATTTCTGAATAGTTGTTGAACAAAAAGTCTTCAAAATCACAAGACCTTTTATTTGATATCAAGAAAAAGGGGCTGACCCCTCAAAGTAGGGGCTCAGAAGGGCCAAAAGTCTTTTATCTATAACTCTTTAGTGATCAATATTTTGTTATAAATTACTGAAGCAAAAATGTTCATCTTAACATTCTACAACTATATATTATAAAGTTTGATCATATGTTACGTAATAAGGGGCCATAAGGGCCAGAATAATAAATCTTTGACACTTTGTATCTCGAAAAGGAGAAATATTTTGATAAGCAATATTGAACAAAAGATGTTCAGAATAATGTTTTAAACAATATACACCCTTTTAATTTTTGCAAGACATCCCCATTAAGGACTTGGAGGGCTGGCCCCTAAATATTGGTATTCTATATATCTCTTAAACGAAAGGAAATTTCTGAATAGTTGTTGAACAAAAAGTCCTCAAAATCACAAGACCTTTCATTTGATATCAAGAAAAAGGGGCTGACCCCTCAATCTAGGGGCTCAGAAGGGCCAAAAGTCTTTAATCTATAACTCTTTAATGATCAATATTTTGTTATAAATTACTGAAGCAAAAATGTTCATCTTAACATTCTGCAACTATATATTATAAAATTTTGATCATATGTTACGTAATAAGGGGCCCTAAGGGGCCAGAATGCTAAATCTTTGACACTTTGTATCTCAAAAAGGAGAAATATTTTGATAAGCAATATTGAACAAAAGATGTTCAGAATAATGTTCTAAACAACATACACCCTTTTAATTTTTGCAAGACATCCCGATTAAGGACTTGGAGGGCTGGCCCCTAAATATTGGTATTCTATATATCTCTTAAACGAAAGGAAATTTCTGAATAGTTGTTGAACAAAAAGTCCTCAAAATCACAAGACCTTTCATTTGATATCAAGAAAAAGGGGCTGACCCCTCAAACTAGGGGCTCAGAAGGGCCAAAAGTCTTTAATCTATAACTCTTTAATGATCAATATTTTGTTATAAATTACTGAAGCAAAAATGTTCATCTTAACATTCTGCAACTATATATTATAAAATTTTGATCATATGTTACGTAATAAGGGGCCATAAGGGGCCAGAATGCTAAATCTCTGACACCTCAAAAAAGGGGAAATATTTTGATAAGCAATAATGAACAAAAGAAGCTCAGAATAATGTTTTAAACAATATGCATCCTTTCACTTTTTACAGACAAATATCTCAGTCAAGATCTTGACTAATCTTATCCAAAATCAGACGGAAGACCCACTCGTTGCTCGCAACGAGAACCATCTAGTTATTATTATTATTCTTTTTTTTCTTTACAAAATTTGTGCAGAAGATTTCTCAGAGATGGCTCGTTCGATTTTATTCAAATTTTCATGATAGATGCGTTGACATCTGAAGTTAATTCCGGCAATATTGTTTTTTAAAAATCACTTCCGGTCGGAAGTTATCGCCCTTTTATTAAAATTCAGAAGACCTCCTTGTCTGCGATGGAACTCAAAAACGGCTTAAGCTAGAGCGCTGAAATTTTCAGGGATGATAGAGGACATGTTGCCATATTGCACCTGGGTTTAGATATTTTCCGGAAGTGCCTAGTATGGAAGCTCGGTAGGGGTCGAAATTTAGGACACGAATCATGAGTGAATTTTTGAGACATTTTGTATCATATCTCTTAAAGTATAATTATTTTGTTAAGACATATTGAACAATATTTGTGCAGAATGAAAAGATCTGTAACATGATATCAAGAAAAAAGGGCTGACTCATCACATTAGGGGCCGATAGGGGCCGAAAGTCTTTAATCGATAACTCTTAAACAAGCAATATTTTTGTATACATTACTGAAGCAAAATTATTTATCTTAACAAACTACAACTATATATTATGATTTTTACGTCATATGTTACATAAATAAGGGCCACAAGGGGCCAGAATGCTTAATCTTTGACGCTTTATATCTCGAAAAGGGGAAAAATTTTGAAAAGCAATATTGAACAAAAGTTGTTTAGAATGATGATCTGAACAATGTGCATCCTTTGAATTTTTCCTAAACAGCCCCTATAAGGACTTAAAGAGACGGCCCCTAAATATTTCAAGTCTACATATCTCGAAAACGAAACGAAACTTCTGAATAGTTGTTGAACAAAAAGTCTTCAGAATTACAAGACCTTTCAAGTGATATCAAGAAAAAGGGGCTGACCCCTCAAATAAGGGGCTCAGAGGGGCCAAAAGTCTTTCATCTATAACTCCTTAACGTTAAATATTTTGATAATAAATATTGAAACAAAAATGTTTCTCTTCACAATCTGCAACTATATATCTGAAAATTTTCTTCAAATATTACGTAATTAGGGGCCATAAGGGGCCAGAATGCTTAATCTTTGACGCTTTATATCTCGAAAAGGGGAAACATTTTGAAAAGCAATATTGAACAAAAGTTGTTTAGAATGATGATCTGAACAATGTGCATCCTTTGAATTTTTCCTAAACAGTCCCTATAAGGACTTAAAGGGACGGCCCCTAAATATTTCAAGTCTACATATCTCGAAAACGAAACGAAACTTCTGAATAGTTGTTGAACAAAAAGTCTTCAAAATTACAAGACCTTTGAAGTGATATCAAGAAGAAGGGGCTGACCCCTCAAATTAGGGGCTCAGAGGGGCCAAAAGTCTTTCATCTATAACTCCTTAACGTTAAATATTTTGATATTAAATATTGAAGCAAAAATGTTCATCTTCACAATTTGCAACTATATATCTGAAAATTTTCTTCAAATATTACGTAATTAGGGGCCATAAGGGGCCAGAATGCTTAATCTTTGACGCTTTATATCTCGAAAAGAGGAAACATTTTGAAAAGCAATATTGAACAAAAGTTGTTTAGAATGATGATCTGAACAATGTGCATCCTTTGAATTTTTCCTAAACAGCCCCTATAAGGACTTAAAGGGACGACCCCTAAATATTTCAAGTCTGCATATCTCGAAAACTGAATAGTTGTTGAACGAAAAGTCTTCAGAATTACAAGACCTTTCAAGTGATATCAAGACCCCTCGAATTAGGGGCTCAAAGGGGCTCTAAGTCTTTCATCTATAACACTTTTACAGTAATGTTCATCTTCACGATCTGCTACTATAAATATTTTAAAATCTTCTTCAAATATTGCGTTTTTTGGTGCCATAATGATCAAAATTTTGTTAAACATAACTGAAGGAAATTGTACGTTTTCACTATTTATATATTTATGAATGAAAATCTCAGTCAAATTCATATCTCATCTTATCAAAAATCGGACGGAAGACCCACTCGTTGCTCGCAACGAGATCGCATCTAGTTTTACATTATATTTGTTTTTATCATGTACAATATTTTAAACAGCTGAACTTACGTATCTCCAGTGCTAAAGTTGTAATGCATAAATCCATATTCAAGAAGAAAATTCCGTTTGCATTCAAAAGAAGATGTTGCTGGTTTTATAGGTGATGCTTGGGAACAATTATGAACAACAATGATTTGAGATGTCCGGGGAACTACAACGAAATTAAAAGAGATTATTTGCTTTAGAATTTCAATTAAATGCCTTAATCAATATTCCAAAATATTGAAAGTTAAAAAAAATTAAATTTTCTCTATATCATTTGAATATTACTATAAGTGATGTTGATGATCGGTTCTGTTGTAGAATTTGATTCTGTGGATGAATTTGATTGATCCATTTTGTCAGTGGTATTTATGATAGTCTTCACAAGATCCAAAACAGTATATGTATAATTTAAGGTAGTGGAGGCATCTATTATGCCATACACAAAGGCTTTTATGTAATGGTCTTTGTCTTTATCTAGTCTTCCCTTCGATACATATTTGGCATCCCACTCTGTTTCTGCTAGATTCCAGTCTTTGTAGTTCGACCATACAACAGGATGGGGTCCAGGGTCTACCGAGTTTGAGGGAATGGTCAACACTTGGTGGTCATGTTTTAGCGTGAAAAGGTTTTGGAGAACATCTGCGTACTCTGTCACTAGAAACATTAGCAATAAACATTTCTATGACAAATCTTGAAGGGAATCAACATGAAGAGGCCTGACTCATTGCTATTGTTTATATGTCGATGACAAAGGACATCATTAATAAAATGCACCAAAAAGTAAGATGTTTCTAATAATCACAAAATCTAAAACATCTGATGTTATTCAAAAAGGAGATATTATGTATATTAGAATACAGGTTTGGTGACGTCTAAAACTCTAGCCATGTAGGATCAAAGTATGCGTCAATTTTTAACATACTTCAGCTACTTTTAATTTTAATAACAAAATCAAATATAATTCCTTTAAATAAAATAATTTAATGTTAAATGTAAGGATTGTTTCTCTTCATTTCTATTAATATAAATGAGCAAAATAATCTTGCAAAGGATAGTAAATATAAAACAATCAACAATCAATCAGTCTATCTTCATGTATAAAAATATATCTCCATCATAATATGAGACACCCAATTATGGGATATATATTATTGCAACTAAATAGCTTGAAAAATTAACTATTAGTAAAACAAAAACGTCTTAAATCAAAGAAAACTTAAAATTGTTAATTTGTTCCAGCACAAAAAAGATGTCTGAATTTGATTTTAGAGTTTACATTTACAACTTTAAAATATCGCTGTTACGTTTATTACTTTTGAGAATTTTCCTTAAGTACAATCCTCAATCTTTCCCAAAGTAAATTGGAAATATTTTAAAAATCACGTGTTTACAAACATGTAGTCAAAGCAAACTTAGACTCCTTGGAGGAGGTTATTAATTACTTTGTTCACAGTGTCTTCCAGTGAATCCTTTTGCACAATTGCAATTTTCTGCTAGTTCTCCTTCACAGTAACCAGGGTAACATCTAGTACTTTCACTGCGCCATGAACAAGCCTCTGAAAAAAAGATTCAATTCACAGTTAATGACAACATTTTTACAAACAGTCTTAATTAATCTGAGTTATGAGTGTCATCTTGGAAATTCCGATAAACGAGTAACTTTCTGACAACCAATTCTTTTGAACTAATGAGAAACGAACAAAAGGGAATCAAAGTTGCATCGTAGCTCATAAAATATAAAAATAAAAGCAGATAATAGATCATATTAGCTACCCTAGTACCATACCTTAATTGATATCAAATTATTTTTCTAACAAACATGAGTACTCTTTACGCCAATTGATTGTATCCTTAAAAAATATATAGCTACTTGATAAAATGGAACCAAGAAAAAAGTATATCTCTTAATAGGTGAAAAATCTGTATCTTTATATCAAAGATTTAGCAATTTAGTGACCCATTCTTGATTTTAAAAAAAATCATAAAAATGAGGTCTAAATGAACATATCATGATTAATAAACTCTTAAACCATATTTTATATTACATGTAACCTATAACCTTAACTTGGCGATCTCATCTGAACAAATCTAAGTGTACAATATACACACTTTTAAATGGTCTTTTCTTTCTTTTTGGTACACTGGTTGTGAAAAATTATCTTACAATGATTATTTTGCATTTTTTTTCAAATGCTAGGAATGTAACACAAGAAGATTTGATGGAGTTTAACACGAATTGCTTGCACACTAAACATTTAAAATAGCAATCTGATCTTTTTCAGAGAAAAAAAGTCAGAAAAGTATGATTACTGGAATATAATAATTTTGAGTATATCACTTACTTCGACATTGTTTTTTATCGTCACTGTTGACATATGCTCTATAATATTCTTTTTCCATTACAACTCCTTCACAGTTGGCACATATCGTTGAAGCAGCAGAATCACCACAGGTCATTTCAATACAATTTGTTATCTTCGGACAGGCTAAAAATGAAAATGAACAGATTTACTTTTAAAAATAGTTTAAAAGAGATAACGAGAAGTATATAAAGTTGAATACATCTTTAGATGCTATAGAGAAATACTAATCTTTATTAAGTGTTCAATATATACATGTAGGAATAATACTGTCGATTAGTAAAAAGATGAGAAAAGACTTTTAAAAAAGCCCAGTACTTCATTTCAATCACTTTTTTTAACTATAAGCTGTAATGCTACACTCCCATTCTATTTGCAAGAAGTAATTAGTTACAAATATTTTTGTTTAACATTAATCACAGGGTTATTCTCCATCTCTTTCAATAAAATCAACATGCGGAGAGTAATTACTGGCATTGCTGTGGATGAAATAAAGATTTTATTTTTTTATTACCTATGCAATTAGAACCAAAGCCGTAAAAATACTTGTTGCTGCAGTCACACCTGTCCGGTGATAAGCAATTACCAGCCGGATACATGTATTCCCATTTCTGGGCGCTTCCAGATCTTTTAGAAATCAAACTTCCTTCATTACATGCCCCTTGAGCAGTTGTCCTTCCATTGCAAATCGCTAAAAATATTATTTTAATCATTAGGCTGCAATGAAAAGTCTTTTTTTTTTCCTAACCCGACCAACTAAAAATATCCAACCGAATCTCTTTTTCCCCTTCTACAAAAATGAGTTTTAAACACATTCAATCCGAAAGTATTTTACCTGCAGTAAAAAATGAAATAAGGTGACGAATTCTTCATGTTGGATTATATGGGTTGGCATATCATCATTCATTCGGAAATCTACTATTTTATATGTTAAACAAGTTTGATTGCGACAAAATAATTGATTAATTTAAAATATAAAGTCAATTATATGTAGTACCGTTCACGGTAGCTCAGTCGGTAGAGCGCTCGCTCCGTGATCGGGAGGTCGTGAGTTCGAATCTCGGCCGCGACAGACCCAAGTCGCTAAAATGGGTAGCAACTGTTCCTTCGCCATGCGCTCGGCACTTTGAAGTGAAAGTTGCGGGCTCTTCGGATGAGACCTTAAAAACCGAGGCCCCGTGTCACGGCAGGCGTTGGCACGATAAAGATCCCTCACTGCTCAATGGCCCTGAGTGCCGAGTAAAGGTCAAAATTTGAAGCCCTTCACCGGTATAAGGTGACGTCTCTATATGAGTGAAAAATTCTCGAATGGGACGTAAAACAACAATCAATCAATCAACAATCAATTATATGTATGTTCAATGCTATTTGGTAGTTTACTAAATGTTTACTATATAATGTAAATCAAACAATAAAGGTCTATATAAATATATATAAGTAAAGACGCACATTTTTAAGGAAAAACTTATCACAGTCCAACTTGTTCCCGATTTCCATTATTATTAAACTTAACATGGTCAGATTTTGCTACGGTTTTATTCAAATTTGTTTGTTTGTTTGTTTGGGTTTTTTTTTTCTTTTTTTTTTTTTTTTGTTTGTTTGTTTAACATCCCTTTCGGGAATTTTCCACTCATTGAGATGCCACCACTTGCAAGTGGAAGTCGACTCGGCAGTTACGGACATTGAGCAGTGAGGGATCTTTTTGTGCCAGCACCTTTTGCGACACGGGACCTCGGTATATACCGTCTCATCCGAAGGACAGATCTCCAGGTCCCGCAGAGGGATTCGAATCAGAACGTTAGGATCTAATCAAAATTGAGTACGTGGAAAAAGCAATCTTCATAAGTATCCATATTCCAAAAAACAAAGAAAGTAGAAAGAGTCATCAAAATGTAGATTCTATAAAAAGTCTCTATTTTACCCTCGAATCACATATTTTCTAATTTTAGAATCAAATTTTTACTTTTAGTGACAAAATTATATGCTATTTAAACCACGAAGACGTTAAAGTCTTACTTAATCATGTTCTTGTTATTTGTATTATATTGTTCCTGTTTAAAAATTTCATAAACCGAGATTAAATTTGACAAAATATGCATGAAGCTTTAGCAAGGGTTAGTCTGTTTCACGTGTACTTGGTTTATGTATCGCTCATACCTTGTAGAGGGCATGTTCATATATACCTTATAGTATATATTCAAACATTGTCTAATCATTATTAAAGAAATTTGGGGGTTTCTTTTCTCTGTGTTGAAATTCCTATGGCAATTCTGCACTGGATTAAATGATTCAGTAATTACAAAAGAGAATAGAGATTAACAAATTAGATGATTATATCAGAAAACGTTTTACTTGATTCGTGGTCCGTACGTAAGACGTAAAAACGAGAGAGAGAGAGAGAGAGAGTTAATTAAAATAGATGACATCAAAATTGCACATAGATTTTCTTTACTTTAATTTGCAAATTGGACATATTTGGGTCCCTAAAGGGATATGTAATGCTCGATAAAAAAATAAAATATATTTAATTTACCAGAACAGCAATCACTTGAGGTCCATCCTGAAATACATGCATATCTATAAGCTGTCTTCTGTCTGTGAAAAAAAGACAGACATTACCAATAGCTTACTTACATATATATGTATTTAACTTTCGCATAGACAGCGTGATTGAAAGATTGTACTATAAATCTCTTCCACATACCCGAGGTATACAGTCATTACAATCATCAATTATTACATGTATACAGTCCTTTGGGTCATCAAAAGAGTCTCCCGGATTCACTATATTTATGTACTAAGAGAAAAAAATTATTTAAAAAGAAACCCAGGGAGGGGGTATTAATAAGTTTCCTGTGTACAAGTACCTATGGTGAGCATGAAACAAGTTTTCACTGGATATTCATTTTCAAAGCTATACTTTCATTACTTTGTCTTTCGACATTTCCACCAATTCCACACACCACACCGGGTGGTATAAGCAGTTGAAGTTGAATACGAAACCACCATCAAACCACATCTGGAATAATGAAATATTGAAATACAATTATATATATATATATATATATATATATATATATATATATATATATATATATATATATATATATATATATATATATATATATATATATATAATTTCAAAAACAAAATGAAGAACCGGTACAGTTTTGCTGGGTGTATTAAAAATAAAAATCCAAAAAAATCACAAAATATTTTCTGCAAGCTCTTTCGCCATGTTAGGCTCTTCAGGCAGTTATACAAATGTCAGGTAGGTTACCTGGTAATGTCATAATAGATCAAGGTACCGTAAAGTTGCCGTATTAGATAATGTACAAATATTGCATTAACTTGAACACATAATATGCATAAAATCTTACAATATGTTATATAATAATGTATCATTTTCGATTAAGCTTTCGTTTAAAGAGTTTGATAAAGTAGTCCTCTTTTGCCAAACGTAGATTTTCATTTTCATTGGGAAGTTTATACAAGAGACCCAAGGGCCTTAACGGTCACCTGAGTATAATACAACAATTTAGAGGATCCATAGAGTATAAAATGAACTGAAAGGTGAAGCTTTGTTGCCCAAAAGCAAGAAAAATAGAGTGATCAGGATCAAAAAAAATAATTAGTCTAGCATTCATTCACAGTTCATGAATTAGGTTCTTATCTGTTCCTCATTTAACACTTTCACCATACAGTAAATTAACAAAATATCACTGCTTCTGTACTATCTTAATTCCTTGTTGAAATCTCTTACATTGGCCTCTCTTGATCTTTGATGAACATTTAATAAGACAAGTTATTTTTGTCTCATTTTTATTTATCTATTACTTACAAGTCTACCTGATCATTAAAACTATGAAAGTACTTTTTGTATTATACAATAAAAATTCTTGCATAATTCTCTTATTCTATTTACCTTTCAAGTACATTATTTACAGTGATTAATTATCAAAAAGTAAATGGCAAAGGGGAATAACTCCTCTCAGTAGATTACAAATTAATAGTGCCCTAGCTAGGACCAGAACACTTGACTAAATGGTCCGGATGTTCAAATATCTGGTAAAAATACCCTTCCTTATTAAAACTTTTACTCTTTTTGCCTCTGATATGCCCTGGTGCAGAGAAGATTTTTAAAGAAATAATGCATTTTTACTACAGATTCACTATACTATCAATAGAACCCCCCCCCTCCCCTCCATCGAGAAACATCAGAGCCTCTCACCCTGGGACCAGAAGTTTGCACGTCATAAGTAATCACTTTGTTTATCTGCTTAATACTGAGGAGCAGACAGGATTATTTGATAGAAATAATGCATTTTCACTATATTATCAAGAGCCCCACCCTTGCATCAGCACATCTGACCCAGGGGTCATGCAATTCACTACTCTGGAAGAAGCACTCTTGCTCATCATAACTATACACTAGCTTCTTTGCTTTTTAACCAGAAGCAGAAAAGAATGTTTTCAGAAAAAATTTGCTTTTTCTCTATATAATCAATAGAGCCCCCCCCCCCCTTTTCACCAGAACCCTTGACCTTGGGGCCATGAAATTCACAAGTTTGGAAGAGGCATCCTTGCATATCATAAAAATGTACTTAGTTTGTTTAAATAATACCCAGGGGCAGAGAAGAAGAGTTTTAAAGAAATAGTTCACCTTCACTATAGGATCTATATTGCACCACCATAGCACCAGAACCCCTGTCCCTGGGGCCATGAATTTCACAATTTTGGAAGAGGCATCCTTGCTTATCATAACAATGTACTTAATTTGTTTAAATAATACCAAGGAGCAGAGAAGAAGATTTTTAAAGCATTAATGCATTTTCACTATATAATAAATAGAGCCCCACCCTAACACCAGAACCCCTGACCCTGGGGCCATGAATTTCACAATTTTGGTAGAGTCACCCTTGCTTATCATAACTATGTATTCAATTTGTTTCAATAATACCCAGGAGCTGAGAAGAAGATTTTCAAAGAAATAATGCACTTTCACTATATGATCTATATAGCCCCGCCCTAGCACCAGAACCCCTAACCCCGGGGCCATGAATTTCGCAATTTAGGTAGAGGGCTCAATGCTAATTACAATCATGTCAACAGTTTGACTGCTTGATGTCCAGGAGTAAAGAAGAAGATTTTTAAAGATTGCATTAATTTTGGTGGTTTTAGCCCCACCCCTCAGGCCCCAGGGGTGCAGGGACCATGAAATTCACAATTTTTGTCCCCCTTCACCCACAGATGCTATATGCCAAAATTGGTTGAAATTGGTTGAGCGGTTTCAGAGAAGAAGCTGAAAATGTTTAAATGTTAACGCACGAAACACGACGGACGACGCACGACGACGGACAAAAACGGATAGCAATAGGTCACCTGAGTGACTCAAGTGACCTAAAAATTGTTAACCAAGGCCCGTTTTACTACACAGGCGGAAATTCCAACCATTAAAAAATGCGGAGATCCAAGATGCGGAACGTGTACATATTTAGAAGAGGGAAATAGAATCCAACTTAAATCAGGAATGGAAATTAAAAACCAATTTACCAATGAACTGTAAATCCGAAAACTACTGTGCAATCTGTCCGACGTG